AAACTTGAAAATATAGGTCAGAGTATGTCGTTCTCTCTTTTAAACTTTTTCGATAATAAATAATATAATAGACATTGCGGAAAAATAATAAAAAAAATAATAAAAAAAAACTTCATCAGATACCGATATTAAAAATGAGAGATTAGATTTAGGTCTGAATACGTGGAACAAGTTTACAACTTTTACAGATTAAAAGTTACCTTTTTTAAATATTTAATGCATGAAAAATTTGATTGTAATGCAATATATGAGAATTGTATTGAATTTTGTTTTTAAAGGAACATTATTTATTCGTTTGTTTTAATGTAATGTAAAGAAGTCAAACAATTAATTTTAAGAAAAGTTTATTGTAAATCTTAATTGTATAACAAAGAGCTGAGAGAATAAAAATAGAAAATTGTTATTGTCTTGTTAAAGATTTTGTCCATTGTTTTTAATAAAATGAAAATAAAAAAAGATAGAAAATTGTTATCATTGTCGCGTTTATTAATTGTGTTTTTAAGCTATTTTCACTTTAAAAAAAAAAAGACAAATTAAACATTAACAATAAACAAATTTATTGCGCCAACAACTAAAGATGTTCTATCACAATAACAAAATTACAATGTAGCGTAACGTTATTACGACGAAAAAATAATTTATTAAAAAGTAAATAAATTATTTCGATATATTTATAATAATATAACTCTAAAACAAATAAATATATTAAAATAATTTAATATTAATACGTTAAGATTCAAACAGGAAGTAATATATTTACCTTCGGGCAATTGAACTTCACCGGAAATGACACAATTCGATTCCGCAATTTATTTAAAAAATAATAATAATATAAAAAAAAGCGTTAATAGGTAATGTAATGATTAATGGATTTTTTTTTTTAAATATGAGTTTATTTAATTTAATATTTAAAAATATTAAATATTTGACATATAAATTTCCATGATGTCATTACGGACAAAGAAACAATGATGACGTCGGCTCGATAGTTTTAGTTACGTAACGTTTCGGTAATTACTTTTCTTACAATCGACTTTTTGTTTCGGAAATATATTTATAAAAATCTGCTAACGTTTTTTTATTTTAAATATTTTAATAATGGAAACTACACCGTTGGAGCGAGAAAAGTTTAAAATATCTTATTAACGACGAGAAAAAAAAAACACGAGGGAGATAGAGAAAAAAAATAATCGAGGACGGATAATTAAACGGCGCGTAATAACGGGTGTTCGTCGTGGGACACTTTTTAACCGTGTCACCATCACTTGACGTAACGGGATCATCCGAAACGTGACCATCGCGATAGGTCAAGTGGTTATGTCGTGTAGAAAGACATTTTCTCTTTCCTAAACGTAACGGTAAAAGTCTCGTTAGCATCGTAAATATCTCGTGGGATTTCAATCTTCCCCTTCTTCACATCAATCGCGTCGCGACAATTTTCCACCTAGCGGCGACGTTAAATGCGGGATTTTTCTTTAAAAAAATTAAATTAAACAGTATAAAGTTTGTAATTCAAATTTAACTATTACACGATTATTTATACGAATCTAAAAAGTGTCCTTATCAACTTGTTTTTTTTTTATTGTGTGTGTTTGAAACGTTGCTAATTTTCGTAAAATAAATTAAGGATAAATAAAATGCTGTAGGCCTACAAATTTTTTAAATTAAAAATTATTGTTTTGTAGAGTTCACAACGTTGCAGTTTTTATTGTTTCACATTAATTAAGATAAACTATTGTCTTTACATTTAAAAAAAATTATATATATATATAAAAGAGAATTCGAAAGTATTTAATTAATCTTATCTCTTTAGATAATCTTATATTACATTGCCTTTATTATGAATGTAAATTTAAGATTTCGAAATTTTATGCCGAAGTTGATGATAAATAAATGAGGTGTAGCAACGTGTGACCTTTTACCAATGTGAGTAAGCGTTTTGATGACGTTAAATACGAAAGAAAAGTAAATTTACGTCTTTAAATATTTGTACTTTTTGTTAAATTGACAAAAAAAAAATATATGGAAAAACTAGTTTTTGTTTGTATCCAAAAGCTTTTAACGGTAATAAAAATGGTACCATTCTAGTTAGGTAGTTCAGTTTTCACGTTTCGAAACTAGAAAAGTGCCGATAAATAACTGTGTTCGGGCCAATTTTAAAGATTATAAGAGAGTATTGATTATGATGATTGTAACCTTTGACCTGAGAAATGAAAGTTTACCTAGATTATATTCCGCATCATAAGACAAACTAAACACTTCGACCGCTTTCCGACTCTCACTATCCAAACGGAAGTGGGACAAATGGAACAAATTTCTAATTTTTTTTTTTTTTATTGTATAGCCTAAGTCATGGATCGGTATCACTGTAATCATAATTCGTTCTAAAAACCAAGATGAAAAAAACTAAACCAACAGTTAAATACTGCTCTTGCTTCCTGTGGTTCGAGACTGTTAGTTTCTGTAGTTCTTAGTTAATTTATTTTCCTTTTTCTACTATTAATAATTTAAAACGAAAGTATTTTAATTGGCGAAACGTTTTTTTTTCCATCCAGATAAGCTTTTGAGAAGAATTTTGAATACAAACGCGAACAAGTGTGTTTCAATAAATGTATAAACGATGAGGAAAACTATTATGAATTTATATCGTGCAGTAACAAGGTAAAATGATGTAAAGTATATCGAACACAAATGTTTCCAGTCGGTAGAATTCGATGGTTGAATGCATCCCAATGAGTTAGTAAAGTTCGAATTCCAACGAGTTGCTATATTTATAACGCCTTCGTGAACATTAAAGAGAATCGACTATTAAAATTAAGAGTAGCGCATCTGTATCATCTCATGCGTAAATTATTATTTCTATTTCCAAAATTACCTTATGTTAATATATATATATTTTTTTTTTGTTCTAAGATTCATTAAAAACAGTTTTAAACAGTTAAATATATTCCGGTCTGATCTATAAACGAGTAGACTTGTTATAATATCTAGGCATTTATTTACGAATAACTTATCGGAATTTTATTCAGAATGATTCATTTAATTATTATTTTTTATAATTGAAACTTCCCTGTTTGTTTATTTATTTATTTATTTATTTTTGTAAATATATAATCGAGCGATCGGCCAAGGCTGACGATCATTAATATACAATTGTAACATCTTTTAAGTGGAAGGAAGGCCAGTTATAAATGGATATTGGATGAAAGGATTAAGCGTAACGAACACCATATTCTATTTTGGTACAACCCTACTTTCGTTTTGACTGACATAAGGGTCAAAATTCGCTCATCTCCAATTCTGGGTGAAATGTTATTGTCCAGGGCAGTGCCCTCCTTGTGTATACAGAATATAGGGCTGCATTACAGTTTTCCGTTTGTAAAAGGATATGGCACATATTTTTCTATCGTTTTTTTTCGGAACAGAAATACCATTGTTCATTATTTATCGAATTTATTGATTGTCTGCTGTATAGTAAATGTTTCCGACGATTATTTCGTGTAAATTATCATAAATTTCACTTTTTTTTTTGAATGAAAGTATGATTCTGTGTTATAAAAGCCTATTTTATAAACCTGTTTTCATCACTTTTAATGGTTAATCGCCTTCTTTTCTAACATCCTATTAATGTTTAATTAAGAAAATATACAACTTTAAAAAGATATTTATAATATAATAATTCGTAAACTCGTTCGAATACTTCGAAAATATTCAAGCACAATTTTATTTCTATTAATTCGTAACTTTAATTATTATATAAACATTTAATTATATTTTAATTAATAAGAATAAACATTCTAGTTTAACTACAAACAAACAAATTTTTTTGTACATTTATTATTTATAATAAAATAAATTTTACAGGAAGAAAATGTTGTTAAAATGACATTTAAAAGTTTATTTTAAATTAAAATCCCGTTAATTGCATTGATAAATTATTAGATTAATTCAGTATCAAATACAGATTAATGAAATGCTAAACAGTATTTTAACGTTAAAATAGTTTAACTTGTTTGGTTAATTACTACGGATACACATGAATTAGTTAATTAGTTATTTATTGTTTTTTTTTAACACAAGAGTCTATTAAGCTGAACTGTATCAGGTGTCTGTAAAAAGGTAAATAAACAAAGACAAGACATGATAATAAAGTGAACAGGTTAATGACGTATAAGATACATATACATGCGAGTGTATGAGGTAAAGGGTGTATTGATCACAGACAACTTCCGCGGATGTAAAAGATTTTTAATTGTAATTTTAATTACAATAGCTTTTGATAATTAATAGAATTAATAGAATTTATAACTTATTCAATAATATCGAATTTCATACAGAAATTTGAAGGACGAAATGAAATTCCAACAAATAACATTAAAATTTTAACTACATTTTCGAAGAGATGGAAATATGATTTTTCAGTTTAAATTTTTAAAGTTTTAAGATTAATGATGTTTATATTCGTGCCATTAAAGTTTATTAAAAAAATAAATGATTTTTTCTTAATTGTGACATTTATGATGACATCAACATAATACTCAAGGATAAATTTTTAATAAATCGAATGCACATTTCCCATTTAAAATAAACGTATGTTCATTTAAATTTAATGATAAAAATGCTGTTTTGTAATGAACTTGCGCATTATCTAACCGTGGAGTTTATGTAATCTATAAGAATTAATAAACAGAATGGGCAAATATATATGAGTTTGCTCCTCTTCCAGTTGTTAAATGTCTTTGGAAGATGCTGGAAAATCTTCAGAATAAACACATTATGACTTTGTAAAGCATAGATAAAGTGAGTTTTACTCGTAATGAAGATAGTTAAGATTTTCATCTATTGCAACGTTGCGAGGCTGAGGGAAATGCGTGCCATTTCGAGGAAACAACAGCCAGAGGCACATTCCATTCGCACACTTTCCAATCGAGCGCCAGCCGCGCTATTGGTGGGTCTGGTGGGAGCACGTGACATCGTCGGACAAGTCATGTGATCGACAGCTGTCTGCCAGTCTGAGCAGCGATGTGGGACAAGTCGGACCATACTTCGACCGGCGGAGTGTCCGTAATCGTCAACGGATCTTCTGTGCGATTAGAGGAAGAGACTAACGCTTCAGTGAATTGGAGCAATAATGCGTTACCGTCGAACAAAAGCAGACAGTCGGAAGAAACGGTCGACGACGGGTCGCTGTTTCGAGTGATCCGAGTCTTCGGCGGTGGTTCCATGGAACGACAAAAACCCGTCAAGACAACGATTAACGTTACTTTCGGAGGACAGACGGCCACAAATGGAAAGACAGACGAGGAAAGAAGTAGCAGCGGTGCCAGTAGCGGTCCCGCTAGCGATTGCGAGGACGATTATGTTAAACCCAACGTTGTAGTCAAGCCCAACGTGTGTCAATTGGTTATATCGCCCTACGGCCAAAAAGAAGAAAAGTCCCAAGACGACGTCTGCAAAGACAAATGGCAGATGAAATTTCACATTAAAGAACTCGATTCGAACCGAAACGATGCGGAGGAAGTCGACACGAGAGCCGAAGCTATCGTTTCGGGTCAGGGGAGTGTCAGAGGTTTGAAGAATCGTGTTCGAGCGAGCATCGTCTCCCTTTTAGAGCATCAGGGCAGCAAAGTAAGTAATATCTTCTGTCTAGAATTATAAAAAGAATTCCGAGCCCGGGGGGAAAGCTGTACGCGCCATAGTGGGGAAGTAGGCCTCTTCCTCGGGCGCTACATCGCCCCTTATTCTACTCTTGCCGAGACAAGTCGAGACGTAGCTGACCCTATTTAATGTACAGGTTGCCCCGAAGTTAGGTGTAGAACTAGGAGGCTTCCTTCTTTTCTGAATGCACTTTATAATTATACGATAAGAGAACTTTCGAAGTGCCTAGAAAATTCGTTTTCCTATAGAATTACTCGGGAAATTTTTGTAAGAATGTTTACGTGAAATTTTGCTACTACATTTGCGTTAGAAAGGCGAATAAATTCCTTCAATTTTCCAACTTATATAAAAGTAATAGTCTGAAATTATTCGCCTGTTTGGATTGGTGTAATGAGGTCATAACAAGTTTATTGTGAAATAATTTTAAATAGCGTTTTAACAAGTGAATGAAAGGCATTGAGTTAAGAGGAGAACACAGATTTCATTTTCAAAAATTGAAATTTCAGACCAACAATAGACTTAAGCCCATATATATATATATATAAACATGCGAGCTCTACATGTTTACTTACCAGAATATATGTAAATTACACAAGAAAACATTACTATTGTAAGAATTTTTTTTATAGTATAATCATCATATATGTCATAATTGTACGGCATAAATTATAAATTATGAGTAATTTATATTTTATGAGGATAACGCCAATTGTAAGATGAACTCTACTATTTTTTTTTCCTATAAAAATAGAAATATGTTTTTCTAAATACAAAATAATGTGATGACACGAAGGTGCCGAAGGCGAGGGTTTGGTTATCATAACCATCTTCGGGTCAACAAGTAGAAATTAGCACGATACGTAGGATTTTCCAGTTTAAGGTAATAAGGTTTTTTTTCCGGAAAATATTGCTCAAGTATTTTTTTCTCATCTCTTAGAATTTGAAACGTGGAAAATAATGTTTAAAAATATTAAAACTGCGATTGTTCTATCTTGGTAGACCATGATTCTGTGTATTCGTCTCGGCTATTTGGGTCGTGATGATAATATAAAAAGGATGATTTATAATTTTGATAATTTTTCCGGTAATAAAACTTATACAAAATGTAAAGAATTAACAATACTAAGCTATAAATTGATTTATGAAGGGAAGATTAAGGTATTTGTCCGTTTTGTATTCGTGCGGCGTTTATGTTTTTCGGGGAATTTTTCGTTTTAAGACGCGTAGGAATGATAACTTATTCGACCTTTTTTTTTTTCTTTTAAAAATGCTGTCGTCCTCGGCCTTGCAAATTGTTATCCCCACCAACGAGTCAATCTGCCCATGACATCATTAACTTACTATCCTCATCTCGCATCCACCTCCGAAAGCGATTGCAAACCATTGGGGGTAGATTCGACGTGGATCGAATGATATTAATTCCCCCGTATTCATTCCCACTCAAGAAATTTTACGGAAGAATCGCTTGGATGATTATTCGCCATTTTTCCGAAAATGGTCGTGTACCGGGAATGTGCAGTTTATGATATAACCTTTGTGAAAGCGCGCTCCGTCATATAAAAAAAAAGGTCTAGAAAATAGCGATTGGTGAAGCCGAAAACGATCGCTGCTTAAGTCTACAGACCTCCTATTTACTTCCTGGTCTTCCGTCATGCATTATGCACGATTGACTTCGAGTCGATTGTGAAAGATGCATAGCTGAAGGTCCGAATTAGCGAAGTTCTTTGACTTCGTGTAATTATGACCCGCCTAAATGCGGGAGCCATTCGGCCTTCGGGGTTCCGAGAAATCGAGAATCTGTACTTATCTATATGAATAAAGGTTGTTCATTAAAGCCGCGACTTTCTTTCTTAAATCTAAGGTAACGTATTGTGTAGACCTGTTTCAAACGGAACAAAAATGAAAATGGCGATAAAAAGAGGAGCCTCTAGTAAAATTGCTTACGTCAAATGTTTGGATCGTAAAAGATCACCCACGTCGCAAATGCACACTCGTTTGTTTTTTCGTTTTTTTTAATGGAATAATGAAGTTTTTATCTACGGAAAATCGCTAGTTCTAACGTTGTTAGAGGATATCATTTACGATAATAAGACAGCGACTTGTATCTGTTGTGTAAAAAGAAAAACAAGCTGTTGCAAATGAGGTGGAAAATCATTAATTGCAGTTATTACATACCAGAATTCAGACATTTCCTTAACCTTTCAGTATTGCACTGTCAACGATTCATCCATTAACATTGTTTAATGTATTACCATCCTAGACTTTTATCAGATGAAATATCTAAGAGGATATGTAACGTATTTGTCAAGAATGAAAAATGAAAGAACATTTTTCACTTCATGCGTTTCTAGGAAGTAATAAAAACAGCTTTTATTTAGGGTATTGCTATCGAAATGGGTTTTGTTATATAAAAATTCACAAGTTGTACCGTCGCCATTAGTGAATAAAATAGAATTCGCTTCTTTCTAGGTGACGGCTCCAATCTCAACTTTAAAAGACTCTATGACTCATATCTTCCATAGTTATTATAATAAAAAGTAAAAATCCTGACTTAAAAAAAAAAAACAAAAAAGGATTCTCGACAATCGAGACCATCAAAAGTGCCGCAATATCTGGAACTAGTTGTTATTTTGAACTTGTTTGGAGTTAGTAAAACGTTTCCAGAACTTGATCTGCAACTCCATCAAAACTTGTTTTCCTTATACAGTACGATTCTTCTATATTTTACAAGCTTCATCTGACAAATCTAAAATTTAAAGTGTGCATTTTTAAAGAAGCGATAGTCATCTACCTTGAAGTATATATTAACCATATGTCAAGGTAAAAATGATGATGAATGTTATCGACTAGTTTTGCACCGAGGATGTTTATCTTTTAGTTAACAATTTTATTGCTTAATGCGTGAATTATTTTTTGAATCAGAACATAAATTAGTCACGCTTCATCTACGCTAATCGTTTTGGAATTTTTTAAATATTTTACATATAGTTAATTTTTTGGTATTAGTCACAAATTAAGTAAATGGTCGAAGAACTTCTTAGTGAATATAACAATGTTTAATCTTTGTTTAGTTAAATAAATTCACAAATATTTAACGAGTAGTTTCAAAAATAACTTCCTTTAAAGTTTATTTTTTTTAATATATTCAGTAATTTCCTAGCAGAATCAGGCAGTCGAATATAATTGTCATTACATTTCCTTTGACTTTTCCTGTTATTCCATACCTGGAATCCTTCAACCTCTAGAAATTCGAGTTTCGTGTATAAAGAAAGTTTAATTCGATTTAGTTTATTTTAAAATAAAAACCGGTTTTAGTACAAGTCGGTAAAATTCGGTACTGGTCTTTTTCACGATAGACTTTATATTCTCATAATATATTCTCCCCGAGGGCATTTATTTCTCCCTTTTTTTTCGGTGGGACTTTTTACCCTTTGTAAATATAGATAATCGTACATCGATGTAAGTGTCCATTAAACAGTGGGATAATTCGGTAGTGGTCCGTGGAAGCTATTCCCTTAATATGCCATTATTTCCGCCAGTCTTCTCTCCTTTGACCATTCATCATTCTATTAAGCTGCTAGAAGGTAATTGATTTAAATAAAATGCTCTCTTGCCAACTGGTCTCCTTTGTCATTAACCTCATTTGTTATTTCTTAATTGGAGAATCGAAAATAGGAAAATTGCTTTCATATCACTTCCGGATTTAGTAAATGTATAACTCCTTTTTAAAATAATAATTTGGAGAAAGAAAGAAAGAATATTTATATAACACCATTTACACTTGAAAATACATTTAAATGCATCATTATTTGTTTACTTTATAAAATCGTGAATAGCTTTGTCCTACCTACTCAATTTGTATTATTTTTAAATGATGACGAATAAAGAACGAAGACAACAAATGCTAACGCATAAAGTGTATAAATCTGAAGTGTAGATGGTAGCCGATCTCTTTACTAAGAGACTCGACGACTCTCGAAATCTAAATCTTCAGTGTAAAACCTATTGTTCGATAGAGCGATTGGAGAAGACTAGAGACGGAAGCGAAGGCTTTTCTACGAATTGTTTTAAGTGTAGGCGATGTGCCAAATATTTACAGGGTGAGGTCTCGAATACCTGACGTAAGCACGTGATGTTGGCATAACTACTCGTATCGAGTCGCACCTAATGTCCCGGAGGACATTCCTTCGATGTAACAAAGATTTAATTGTAAACAATGTAATTAATTTAAAGTCGTTAAATTAAATATTTCTCGCTCGATATCCTAAACAATTGAAGATTCTTGGATGAAGATACGAATGTTTTTCGAAGATCCTTCGACGAATAACTTACAAATAAGTAGTTTTACGGTCGAGAACGACATTCGATACGGACCTATTACATTGCAATCGGCAAGAATCTGTAAAAGACCTATTTGAGCCGGAGGCTATTCATCCGAGTTCCACTTGGCGAATTGAAGTAAGATAGTTATTGTAGCCTCTCAGTAGGGAGGGAGGAAAATGACTTAGAGAAAGCTAGGCAGGTCGCCACACTTGGTGAGGTAGAAAGCAACCGAGAGGTCGTTGGATGCTTGAGATAATTGGGAAGGGCAAAGACATATTCATTCTCCAGCCTTAGTAAAAAGACGACGATGGAATCGAGAGTGCAGCGATCAAGGTCGTCTTTACATATTCAAATATAACCGAGCATTCCATTTCAAGTCATTATCGAATATAATCAAGGAAGAGATCGAACTCTGTCACTTATCCTTAAACTTTATATTTAATGAATTCTGTTTAAAGTAGTGTTTCCCGTAAGGAAGAAGGCGTGATTTAAGTATCCATCTCAGAAACACGAACAACTCCCATTAGAATGTTTCTCATTGTTAGCCGAGGAAAAAATTTCATTCAAGGCCGAAAGTACCACAGCTGTAGATTTAATATCATTTCAAAACAGAATTATTCTCTTTTAGTTTGCCGACCACGTTTTGATTACGACTTTTCCGTACCTTAAGAGGTAACTAGTTCGATGACGACATAAATCATTTAATTGTTTTGAAATAATTAAAGCAGTGTCTGCGTGCCGCTCTCAAACGTGTCATTGTAACATTCCGTACATATCCTGTCCCGTATTTTTGTTTTCCTTTTATTTTTTTTTGCTCTGGCCACACCCGCATAATTTTACGATGGGATCTAGCACGGCTCCCTTTTCTCATTTAGACTGCTATTCTGGACATTTATATCTTAAGTCAGGTTCTTAATAACGTTATCGTCTTGTGACTATACCATGTCTGAATATAATCTTTAACAATACCATTAAAACAATGCGATAGTCTGCGCTCTTTCAGTCAAAAGGTCACGAACCATTGACCTTGTGTCCGATTCATTGTTCCACTTCTCAATCGATCCTTCAAACACAAACAAATCCAGAGGTCTTTGACCATTTCCGGCGATTTCACGCTATTGATTAGATTTACACGAGAGTCGCCGTCTGCAATTGTTGCTTTTCCTTGACTGATAATCAAGTTTGCCTATTTTGAATTTTGTCCTGGCTTAAAATTAATTCTTCGTTTCGATAGTTTCGTTCTTTCCGAAGACTTTCTTGTTAAAGCTGTTTAGTGAATACGAAGTAAAATTCTGTTTTCGAACTGCTAAGAAATAATAATAACCCGTAGTAAAATACTTATTTCAAAATTATAATGTATAAGTTGGGTGGAATGTATTTTACTTCCAAATTGGGCGCAATGGCACACCGTCATCGAGTGTGACGCACCGTAAAAATTAAGCGACGCCCAGACTGTTTTCTTTTATTTTTTTCTGTTTATTTATTAATGGTAAACGAGATTTTCCACATTAGCAACCGGCCCATGATTATTCTTAATAATAATAATAATATAAAAAAAAAAAAAGGAAAGAAAATGCCAATGATCTATAGACGCTATAATTTCGTGATAAATGTGGTAGAGCTGGAGGCAAGACAGATCCAAACTCGAACATAAAAATCGAATCGGACTACAATCTAGAATGATTTAATTAAAGGAACAAAAGATAAGGTACCACGCAATTGGAAATTAAATGATTTCTTGTAACTTCGAGTATCCTAAATCAAATGACCGTGAGAAAGTGAAAAATAATTACATGGTACACTAATGTCCCGTATCGGATACTTGTTTGCAACCAAGTGAGAATCTTTTCTCAATTTCACGCTTTTGGTGACAAAGGGCACTACTACGACCGAACATCAATCTTAAATATTTTCTAAATATTAATAATATTATATAAACTCTTCGGAAATCGTAGAAAAATCGCCATTTTACTGGCTCCTAGCGATCCCGTATTGTCGAGTCAATCGTACAACTCGAAGTTTTTCAAATATTAATTCATTTTTTTTATGAAATAAAAATAGGTTGCGTTAGCGCCTTATCCTACGTTAATCGATACTTTTAAGATTAAATATATTTAACAGTAGACGAAAGAAAAAAAAAAGAAAAAAAAAGAACTGGTTTTTCGGAGAAGTTGCTGTCATTTAACGGTTTCGGGCCGACGCCTCCTCACTGGAAAAATGAGTAGAAAGCAAATAAGTAAACTTGAACCCGGTTCAGACATCTTTTCAATAAAAGTGAGATGTGGGTAGTAAGGCGTTGCCAGTCGCATTCGGGTCACGAAGCGATTTTAGTGACGTTGACACCGGCCGTCGTCTACTATAATAGCCACTATTTTAATGGTTAGTTTACCATCTGTAGGAATTTTCTGGGTTAAACCGCATTAAATATTTTGGAATTACAAACAATTTTCATCGACCGTCAGAGGGAAGTACAGACAACAACGAGTATACGTGGCAGGTACTCGTTGATGTAATTACAGATAGTCGAGTCTCTAAAACGGAACACCTGTACAAACAGAATGGATTTTTGACTTTCGGCAAGGTTGTCGATGATAAATTTAACTGTTTATTTACCGAAATGAATTTTTTCTATCGATTCTTTCAAAGCAAGAAATCTCGACAGAGCAACAACATCAAAATCGTACGTAAATTGTGAAATGTTTTAGTTGCTTAGCAAAAATTTATCATCGGACTTCACCCACGTTTAATGTGGAATGTGAAGGAAATATCGATAACGATACACTCAAGTATCGATAAAAAATTTATAAATGAACAGATGAATTTAAGTTATAAGTAATATATATATATATCCCTACTTGTAAATTTGTATTGTATATTTATGTAATGAACGTAATAGCTTATTCTCTAAGTACACATGGAAGTGTATAAGCTTAGAGACAATATAATCCTGGATGGTTTGATAACTGTATGTAAATATCAATGTAACTTTCATATGTAGTTCACAATTGATTTTTTAATTGGAGAAAAATCTTTGATAATAGTAGATATAATTTTTTTTAAATGTAAATTTTAATGGAATTTTTCGACAGTTTTGACGCATATTATGTTGTAGAACACGTCAAGCGAAACAAAAATAAATTTGGGAGAGATGAAATTGTTTTAAAACACCGTTAATTTATTATCGTTTTAGTTTGGTTGGTGAAATACAGCAGCGCAAGGGGAGAACTTTCTGAGAGGAACTTGCCCCTATTTAGATATTACAAATATGAAGGGGGGAAAAAAGAAACAGAGAACTCCACGTGCCCGACCCGTTAACCAGGTGCGAATCCGTGACTAACTACCAGTGTTCGATGGTTTTATCCATTCGACCATTAATGAGCTATTGTCTTTTTGATTTTGTGTGAATTATCACTACATATTCAGAAAGATTATCTTTTCAACGCAATTTTAAAAATAAATTTAGTACGAATACTTGTTTTTGCTATTTTACTGCTTGTGAAAAAAACACTATCCTGAAAATTTTCCTGCATCCCATCTCGTATGAGATGCAGGAAAATCTGCATACCATCTTATGAGAATTTTGCAGCGAAGTATTTTCTGGCTCGAAAAAAAAAAATAATCTATAATTTAAAACGTGTATAAAATTTGTACATAAATACCACCAATTAATTAAGATTTATATACAGCAATTATATAATTTATAACTCTGTAATAACCTTAAAAACTTAATTGATAAGGTTTTGAATGATAAGGTTATTTAGTAAAAACTAAATAACCTTATCATTCTTGTATTAGATCATTTGATAGGAGTATATTAAACTGACAGAACAAATTTATATAATTTAATGAGAGAAAAATAAGTTTGGATTGTATTTCGTGCTCTTCGAAAATTGATGTTCCCGGTTCTATGAAATTGATGTTTCCAGTTGTTTGCCCGGACCAAATTTATAATGTAGTTACTGTTCAAGCTTTTGTAATGATTCAATGCTATTATAATTGATGGCTTTGGGAACCGAATGGTCATTTTTGTATTAAATGCTCCCGATATGGCTTTTTCTCTTATAAATAATATAATATATTGGTCACTTCTGTTTTATAAATACAAGTTTATTAGTTATAAGAGAATAAACTTTTTTATATTTAATTAAATACATATAATTTAGAAATTAAAATATTCATTTATTAATTGATGAGAATTAATTTTTTATGGAAAAAAAGTTAAGAAGAAAATATTCAAAATATGCTGTTTTGTTGATTGTTTACAGAGGAATTATGACAAAGAGGAAGAAGGAAGAATAGTGTTTTACACGACAACAATGGGTATAGTGAGACAAACGTACGAACAGTGCCGACGAGTGAAAAAAATACTGGAAACTCTTTTGATTCGATTCGAAGAAAGAGACGTGTTTATGAACAGAGATTTCCAATTTGAATTAAAAGAAAGACTCGGTATCAATCACGTTCTTGTGCCTCACGTGTTTATGGAAGGAAGACTGCTCGGGGTAAGTATTCGTTCTCTTCCTGTTTCCGAACGCCATAATGTATTACCTAAACTATTAATGATGAGAAAATATCATTCTGGCACGTATACTTGGCCAAAAAAACCGGTACATTTCGTGTGGTAGTTACTTTTTTTTTTACATTTTCTTCGATTCTTTGTCGATTGGCCCTCACGTAGCATTTGCACGGTCCAAAGAAAACACGATGATGAACCATCTTCAATATGTCGGAATTTCTAGCTCAGGGCCACTTCGTATTCCATTTTACATTTATAAAAAAAAAGGGTTATGAAAATTGGGAAGTCCATTCCTATTAAAATTGTGAGGTGAACGAATACAAACGACGTCCTTAATTTATGCTTAATAAATTGTAATATCGGATGTTTAATTAGCATATTTGTAAGAGTATTCGTATTTGGAATAGAATAATTTGTTTCGATCGAGTTGATGGCTTAAGGGGAGACGACCTTTAACTCGCGTATTTAGGCAATTAATAGAGCATTTCTAGCAAACCTTGAGTTTTTTCGAGTCACGACTGAATCGTATCGCTTATAAACATCATTTTCTTTAATGAAGATCACTTTAATAACCTATTTAAGTATTTATTACAATCAACTCTCCACTAAACATTTTGAAACGCTTCACGGGAGTTTTAGAATGATCGTAAACTTGCACCATCCACATTTTTCTTTATATTTTTTAAACTAATGTAAGAATATAAACAATTGATAATTATTTTCTTTCTTACTTCATAAGTATTCGCGTATATAATGATATACGGATATATTTTCTTCTATTATTATTATTATTTATTAATAAGTATTTTAAATTCTTAGAATTTAAAATACTTATTTCTCTCATCTCAAATCAAATCTAAATTCGAAATCTTTAAGGATTCAGCTATAAAAAGTGTCATCATTTCACATTTATAATGTGGAAAACTGTGTACCGAACTTAAGAACGAATATACACACAAGATTTTAGTTGATTATTTCATAATTAACTTATTAACAAATTGTTATTGTAAACCCCATTCGTTTCCAATATTAGAGAGGTTGCGGCCGACGTTTTCAACGCGAAAACGTGTACGTCGGACGTTCATCGCCGCCTTCCTGTGAGCCTAGAAGTTTAACAATGGCGTTTGGAACGTCAGTAGAATCATGCTCGACGTTCCAAACGTCATTGTTAAACTTCTAGGCTCACAGGAAGGCGGCGATTAACGTCCGACGTACACGTTTTCGCGTTGAAAACGTCGGCCGCAACCTCGCTATTCAAATTCCGGAATTAACAGGGAAAATATTTAAATGTTTTGCAACAGTTTACAATGGGAGTAATGAAACCTTTGCGAATTTAATTGGCAAAACTGAATAAACTAATGCTAAAATGTTCGTTTCTTCAGATTATCATCGAAATAGATTAAACCAAGTGAATGTTGTTAAGATCAGATAATGCTTCTGACAGTTATCTGACCTTATTTTACTATCTGATCATTTATTGTTGACAATATCAAAGGTTCGATCATTGAATTGAGGACTACAAAACAGAAAAACGGGAAGTACTGATTTCTTTCCGATGATTTCTCCACCTGAGATTGATTCGAACATCGAAAAACGAACCAGATATCGATAGAAAATTCATTAAAATATTGTTCTTATTCATTATTTTTGTAGCTTATTTTCGAGATTAAATACTTATTTTTATCCATTATTAATAGGGATTGTCAATCGGGCTAATGCTTGTAGTTATAATCGCGAATACTAGAAAGATGCCGAAATTTTACGAAATAAGACGAAAAATATATAACCGAATGAAAAAAAACTAATCATTTTAATATTAAAATAATCAAGTTANCGGTTATAAAGGTTGTTTACAGTATAGGCCTATAATATATGTGAGGGAGTGCATATAATTAAATAATTAATTTCGAATTAAATATTAAACACCGGACGTCATTAAAAACGGATTAGAAAAATTATTAAAATGAATATTTATTGTCTGAAAATTTACTATTTTAAAAAAAATTAATTTATCAAAAGGTTAATAAGCTACAGAGTAGGGCCTCGCACATTTAAATTTATTTGAGAGAAGAGAAAGGCCTCTTATATATATTATAGTTAAATCCGGCCCCGCTCGGACCCTCAAAAATTTGCTACACGAGACATTATTGACAGGTCTAGATCTAAACTAACAATTGAAAATAAAAATAAAAATTGTATGTAAATTATCGCATAATTTAGATGTTATCTTTTCAAAAGTATTGAAAGTTGTTTTTCGACTTTAATTTCAATTTCTCGACCAATTCAATAATAAATATGAATTATTCATTCCGTCGTTCACATTTATAAATTAAATTGGATCATTGATAATTACAGTAGTTTTTTTTTTCTATTATTATTTATTTCATTCTTGCCATTCGGAATGTAAGAAATTAGAAATTTACTATCGATACCGCACCTCAATTAAGCAAACAATGAGGAAATGTTAAAAGGATGCGCGGTTCTTATCTACATAAGATAAGGTAATGCATTGTTGTTGAATCATACGTTTTCTTAACATTTTCAAATGATTAATAGATATAAAATAACATAATTTGACCTAATAAAATGTATTTTTTTTTTCTTACTTTAAATTTTGAATAATTTATAAAGAAATCGAGTTTATATTTTAGAATATAAACGGCATTTTTAACATTATACAAGTTTTTAAAAAGAAGAAGAAAAAATTAAATACAACGTGTGTCCTTTTCCTAATTCAAGATTTTTTTGTGTTAAACTAGTTAGTTTAATGCCAAAAATTTAAATAGGTCAATAAATTTCGAAAGTTAATTGAGAACAAATTGCAGTTAACTCGATCAAAATAATATAATTTTTTTTTCTTCTTCTTCTGTTTTTAACGGGCATTAAACAATTATAAATAGTACTTTAATTACTTATAATACCAGACTTTTTTTTTTTTAGTGAAAATAAAATATTTATCGACGTAGACTCTAATAAAGGTATAATTATTCGTACATACGAGTAAAAAAATATTCGGAATCCAAAGATAAACGGGAGAATTTCGTACGACTTCCATTGAATAGAACGTGTACAGTACACCATCCACTTCTATATAATTGTATTACGGGCCTCGGGGTTTGTGCTCTTTTTTTCTAACAAAGCACAATTAAATTGAATAGAAAAACGCAACCAAGAATGTTTATAACATATTTACCGACTAAAGAGAATTTCTATAATCTATTCATTACGTATTTCATACCATTTTTTCTATTACACAACTCGAATAAAAACCCGACGTTACTTCATTTCTCGTTCCGGAATTTTTTTCACATTTACACAATTCGAGTAAGTAGTTATTAATGATAATTATAACAAAATTTCAAAAGTGACCCGACTTTCTAGGCATTATCGCCTGCCTCGACCTACAAGAACGAGTTACTTACTAGGCCAAATTTTTCTACATTATTATATTTATATTATACCGGGAACAAATTCTTTTAAATATATATATATAAATACAGTATATTTTTTATTATTTTATTTCTAAAAAATTACAATTCATCCCTTCCTGTTTATACTTCCGTAAATATCGTGCACACTTAAAATATTAGGTCTTAAAAAAAAAGTATTTAATTTTAAAATATTCTTAGAAAAAAACACGACTAAAATAATCGGAACCGTAAATGAAATTGGAATTGGAAATAAAAGGAATTTCCAATGAAAAAAATTCGGCAATTCTGTCGATAATTTAAACGCGGTTTTTAATCGGAATTCAATTTTTCTACATTCTTTTCTCGAACGGTGTGGTTGGATCGACCTTACAAAATTTAAGGGGGAAAAAAATATCAAACCAGTTAGACCAGAAAAGACGAGATATGTGCTTTGTGCTTGTCTTGAATTGGGACGCTTGTCGGAGGACGATTTGCATATTAAACTCGTTTCGATTTAAAAAAGAAAAGAAAAAAAAAATTTGGCACAAAAAAAAACTTGGTTTGTGGGGAGAAAAACTATGCCAATTCTTTTAACTTTTGGATGGCAGAAATTACCGATACGTGCTCGGATTTATTTTGAATCCGGCAGAACCGAGATGGTACGAATCGTTGGAGCGGAAATTTCTACACGCAGATGTCATCCATTTGTCTATTTATAGACGACGAAAACGGAGACAATTAACACAATTCGTGACGAAACGTAAAAGCCGAATTTGACAATTTAGTCTTGCGACCATTTTACAGTTTTTCATTACGCTCGTTCTCCGGAGCCGTTCGGCCGAAAGAAGTGTTGGAGAATGGTGCCACTAAGCCACGATGTGGTTTATGACCATATCAAATTTAACTATCTTTCTTTTTATTTAAAAGATCATAAAATCTATTTGAATTTAAAAAAAACGCATATTTTATATTATATATATATATATATATATATAATTACAATTTGAAACTATATTTCGTACACCTGCCTTGCACTCTAGAGGACCTGTCGTCCTCTTCGAATCACATGATTGACCTGTTTTAGTGTTGCGACCTTGAGCGGTAATGACGTCTTCGACTCGTCGAACCAGTTCCAATATGGCGTCGGATTTTTTGGAAATAAATATTTTCTCCTAATCGTCATCGGAATAAATAGACTCGAATTTTAAATCCTTAAGCCACGCGCTTTCGTTAGGTCATTTACGTGGCATTATATAAAGTTTTTAAGTTAAATTTATTGTCTACTATTTTAAAACCAGCCATTCAAAATGCGGAGTGGAATACTTTAAAATGATTATTTCTTGATAACGTGCATACGAATTTATAATACAATTCACTTAAGATTCTATTTACGAAAGATATTGTTTTAAATAGTCCTTATGCCGGAGGCCCTCTTATTTCTATTCCAATGGGATTACGTGCCAAGTCACTCCCATTCCTGTGTTCTAGAATTGTAATACCAGAGGTGAATGCCCTGCTTTCTAACTTATAACATATACTGTATATGGAAGAATATCAAACTAACATAATCGGAATCTAAAAATAATTGAATTAACCCTATTTCCAAATTTGTTTTGAAATAAAAAAATTATTTTGACTACAAAATCAATATCCTATCAGTAGTGGGTAGAGTTGGCCCTTGAGCTAGATCTGGCCTACTGACATTTTTAATTCCACCCACGTCAAAAATATCAGGATTAAGACAAAAGAAATTTTCTAGAATTACATGTTTTGTATGAATATTTAAATTTAAAATATATCAAGTTTATTTTAGTTATGATTAGCTAAAAAAATTATGAAAGATAAATTTTTAAACCACAATATTACTACTCAAATCTTTAAAATGCAGTATATTTGTGCNAAATATTCTCATATAATAAGTGCGTACGCATGCATTTTTTTCTTTTAATTTTTTTTTTTCAACTTTCACAAATATTAAATTTTCCTACGAAAATAAATCAATAAATGTTTTTTTTGCAAATAATTAATCAAAATTGCGAATTTTAAAATATTTTAATTAAGTTTTATTTATTTTCGCAGAATGCAGATGTCCTTGAACAATTAAACGAAACAGGTGAATTGAGACAAATTTTAAGGCCTTACAAGGTACTTTGATTTCTTTATTTTTAGAACATTCGGTACTATTAGTCAGGGCGCAATTATAAATTTTGATTCCGTTTTTGTTAAACTTGAACACGAAAAGCTTAAATTTTTTTAAAAAAATATAAATTAGAAATAATTTCTATTTTTTTATTTTGAATTTTCAGAGAACAAGTTTCACTGGGACATGTACAAAATGTGGAGGTTATAAATATCTGTTGTGCCCATATTGCGGAGGAAGTAAAAAGTCGTGTAATCATCGCCATCATTTTCCAACCGATCAGATATCTTTGAGATGCACAAGCTGTGACGAGAGCGGTCTCATACGTTGCGATCAGTGCATCAACGGAGAAGGATGATGATGACATCTCGAATAAACTCTAAATAATCTATCTCGAAACATGGAAGATTACGAATGCAACTTAAAAAAAAAAAAAAAATATTTTCCACGTTATTAGATAAGTTACCAGCACTTTGCAATAATGTGCACGAAGAACATACGGGTTGCCATAAAGAACGACGGAAGACGATGGAAAAAACAAAGTAAATACTAAGTCAAAATCAGAAAATTGACTCCTGGTGAAACAGCGTGTAGGTACTAATGTGCAATATAATGGGCTTAATCAACTTCCAATTTTCTCAAATTGAGATAAAATTGACTTGATATAGGTGCCAAGAGGCTGAAACTAATAAATTTAATTATTATTACAGTCGACCCCCCTATAAGATAGAGATACGTTCCATTCTATAGGAATCCGATTTCTTACGAATCCTTCCAATCACAACCCGACACGTGTGAAGTTTACGGACTACGGCTGTTTGAAAGATTATCTTCCATAAAATTAATCGATTCTAGACTAATACGACTCAACATTTCCAAAATACGTATATTTTTTTTGGAAATAATCCGTATAAACTACGCTATAAATAAAAAATTGTAGGATTACTTACCGAGTGTCACCATTCGACATCGCCATTGCTCAACATTGTTTTCGTCGCGGAACAGCTCAGCAAACAGCGGACGATTTCTAATAACTTATTTTTCTACCAATAGTTCCTTGAACTTCGGAGACATCATTAATATAAATAATTTTTATCGCCGTTGAATAAGAAATGTTTCTTTCACAAGAAATGTATAAAATTACAGTACTGTATTAGACTTACGGTACCTAATTTACATACTGACAGACGATAGTTAGCGTAAAAATCTCCGTAGCGTGGCGCCACGCTAGACGGCGGAAATTATATATAAGTTAATATATAATTATATATACAGTACCTAATTTATATATAATTTATATAATACTGTCCAGACGATAGAAATCTCTCCATAGTTGGCGCTACGGACGGCGGGAAAGTAGTTCGGCTGCCCGATGAAGTTTCAGGTGTTTATAGGGAGCTTTTACTATTTTTTACGGATACCGGTAGCAATTTTTTCGTAGTTTTATAGGAATCGTAATTATAGGGACCGTAATTATAGGGGGGTCGACTGTACTTCAAAGAAAGTTAGCATCCAGTGATATTTCCAACAAATTGTATTGCTGTTACTAACTATTGCTATCAAAAGTCAATGATGTATATAGTTCTCCACATCTGTAATTATAAAATGGCTTAAGTGGTAATTGTAACTAAGTTCACTTTATTCAGGAAGTTTCGTGTTACCAAATGTTTTTCATTATTATTATTGAGCTTAGCAATATTTTGTAATAAAATTTTAAAAACATTTATTTTGGCCAAACTTGAAAAATTAATTATTAAGATAGTTGTGTAGAAGTTTGTTTCAATAACTTTGATTACTTATCTACTAATAAAATTTTATTTATATAAATAAGATCATGATTTTATTTTAATTGCAGTTAAACTTTAACACAAATTTTGATTACTAATGCCATAATTGTAAACATTTTTGTCAGAGGTAGCAATTTGTGTACTTTCAATTTATCAGTATTTACAAAGCCATTAAATAATAATTTTTATATTATTAACTATAAAAAAGCATTTTTAAACAGATTAATCTCTATGAAAAAATTATGGTATAAAATTAGAGTAATTCCAATTACAAAAATATAAAACTTACCAGAAAACAGACTAATCTACAAAAAACACATGCAAAATCATCTTGTAAACGATGTAAGAAATTAAATGTGATATATTTAATTAGCACATTTATACATTTTTAAATATACAACATTTTTTAAAAATAATTAATTAGTTTTACAAGAAAAAAAAAATGTATTATAAGCAAATAATTAAATAATTATAACTATTCTGGAAATTCAATATCAAGTTTGAAATCATCTCATTGATTTTATTCTATTTCAAAATCAGATAGGTTTAAATATATGTGAAAATAATAACTTGAAGTTTCAAAATTCAAAATAAATTTATTCTGTAGTTAAATCATAATCTAAATTTATGAAACTTTAAATTAAAAATAACATTTCAAAATATTCATATAATTATCAAACAAAATTGTGGAATGTTCAATTTTCCATACTGACCAAACATTAATTTTTACATTTATGTCAATTTAAAATTTATAGTCTAATTAGAAAAAGAAAGAAAACCACAAAAACAAAGTACAAGTCAAAATATTCTAGATAATGAACAATGTTTAATAACAAATAAGATAATAATTCAAACAGAAGTGGAAAAACAATATCTTTTTAGGTAGCTGAATTAATAGATAAACATAAAGAGACACAAATACATATAGTAGACTAATCTTTTGTTAAATAATATTTCAAAATTAAGATGTAAATTATAAATATGAAGTATATTTCTTTAATATTCACAATAATCTCTGTACAAAGCAAATTATTGCAATCAATCACAATTTTGTTGAAAAGATGATTTTCAATAAAGTACAAGACAAACAATTACATTTAACAGAGAACGAAAAGCAAACCAGTTGATCTGGTATTTAACATTATATATATATATATTCTACAGTTAACACACAACATAAATTTTCACAACCACAATTCATCCCACTACCATAATAGGTAATGGTTTGTCATAATAAAACACATTTTAGAGATACTGAAGCTCGTAAACTTAATCTAAGATGCACAAGTGAATTTAGTGATTGTAACTATTAAACACACTATGTATGATATAATAAAAATTTACTTTCACATAACATGTAATTTTATACATAATCAATGTACTTCTGGACAAACAAATTTTATCATAGGTATAACAATGTTTTAGTAGTAAAATAACAAAATTTTTTCTTTATTAATAAAATATGTAATATATATATTATACATACACACATTTATGCACAAGTATTTTTTTGTGTGTATATACAGCATATTTTAAAAATGACATACATACTTCTTAAAGAAGTTTCATCGATGTTTAAGTGATGTGCCATACTGGCATTTAAAAAGCTGCATATTGTCATTTTCCAAATATAAACTACTACAGCATTTTTTTTATTTAAAACTTTCAAGTAATAATTAATTTAAAAGTTAACACTTAACTGTTTTAATAATATTAACATTTTTAGAATAAATTTTAAATTAATTTATTCATAACAAACATTAAATTGGATATATTTGCAATGAGATTTCTTATATCACACTTGTGACCAATTAATCAAAGTATTTTATACAAAAAACTTAAGAAAAATTCTTTCTAATATCCAAAGAAACTGTTACAACAACAAATTATTTAACATTTGTTCATTAATTATAACTTATACAGAACATCACACAAAATATGGCACATCCTAACTAGAAAATTATTTTCAATAGAAATTACAAATAAAATAATGGACAAAATACAAAAAAATAAAATGAAATTATTATTGAAACAATCCCCAATTTTGACAAGAAATTATGAAAATCTGGAATGTACGAAAATGACTGGTCCAGAAATAAAGAAAAGTTTAAAGTATTTATAATCTCGTGACATTAATGTATCATACATTTAAAATCAATATATTAGCAATGCAATATTTCTAATCAACAATAACTAAGAATTGTCATACACATTATTCACAAACATTTCAGATATATTGGCTGAGATCAAAATTTGCATTATACATTTTATAAAATTCATTGTTTACAGTGCTGGGCAATCATGAGTAGATAATTATCATCTCCTATTGGAGCTTGCCTGAAAATTAAAATGTGTGTTATAACTATGATCATTCAAATCAAATGTCAAGCATTAATATATTCTACTTACTCAGATCCGTATTTTGTTTGGCGACAAAAATTCCTGAAATATTGTTTGTGATCCTGCTCCAATCTAATAACGCATGTTTGAATTTCATTTAATGTTTCCCATAATGTTTGAGTGTCTTCTATCACAAAGCCTGCTGGGCAAAGAGAACACTGTTCTCCCGTATACACTGCTTGATTTTTACAGGCTTCTAAATAAATAAAAAATATAAAAAAAAATCAGATTTTAATTTATTTGGGTACATTATCATTTTAAATATATAACATTCAATAAATTAAGAGTCACTGATTAAGAAAAGATTTTTCAAAAATACTTTACAATTCACTTACTACAGATCTGATAAAATAATGTAATTATGATATCTGATCATTCAGAATCATAAATAATTCTAATCTAATAAATTTTTTTTAATTCAAAAATCTAGAATATCCAGAATTCTGAGATGGTACCATGTAGTTACATTTATATACTGGTTTTGATTGTATAATGGTAATCACAGTAATGGTATAATATAAAATCCTATAATATGGTACTATAAAGAGAAATCAGAAATTACAAGACCTTCTCTTACTAAGATTTTATTTTTAAAATTATATTAATATGCACTTAAATTACATATTTGGATTTCTCAATTCTAAAGATATGGAGTAAAATAAAAATAAATGCTTTTTTTTGGGAAAAACATTTTCTAATTAAAAAAAAACAGTCTAAAAATTAAATATAAAATTCAATAAAATTCCCTGCTATCTGTTTAAAGTCTAAAGGAATTAATAATTTTATTATAAAATCATAATAATTATGTTTTGAGTTCAAAAAGAAAAAGATTAGAGGCCATACAGATCCAAAATGCATTTTTCCATTAAAAATGTAAACAAAAAGAAAAGAGGTCAATAAAAAAAATGTTTTAATCTCAATATTTGTGACTAGTTTATAAATTTGTTTGTTGTCTAGTTGTTGTTAAGAAAAAAATATGAGAACCCAGTGTCCAATAAGTAAGAAATATAGAAAACATAAGATCTAGTTTTTTTATTGAGCAAATTACAATATACTTATCATATAAATATCCATTGCACTTTAAATATGAACAAATGTGCAAATTTAAATTGCATACTCAAAAATACTGCTGCTCAGAATGAGAATTATCATAATTTTTTTTTATGTAATGAAAATTTAATTCACACATTTCATTTCATTTTATTTTATTTATAAAAAACAATTTTTTATTTTAATTTAGCTGTATAAAATAAACAAAATATTCACTAGGCAAAGTCTATACAAACATGGTGTAATGAGTGAGTGAAAAAGAAAACTACAGTAAGTGGTAAGCAACAAATTTTTTATTTTTTAGTTGAAAGACAAAAATTACCAGTTTCAACATAGTTGTCAGAGACAGTTATATCTGGAAAATCCATTATCATGGGTCATTTGTTTCTGTTTTTTGATATTAATCATCTTATATGAAAAATTTGTTCATTCACATCTGCATACCTTTAGCCTTACAGTGGTGACTATGTATCTGTGATGCATTCTCCAAAATTTTAATATTGTTTTAATAAAAAATTAGTTTAATTTGTATAAATATTTGTTTACAAGTACACTCTAAAATGGAACTCAAGTAAATTATGAACAGTCTTTAGAGAGAGATATGTACTTTTGCTTTATTTCATATTCACATCTTTAGATTGAATACAAAATAAAATAAAACATTGAAATCAAATTAAATTATCTTTTGTATTCAATCTAAAGGCTCTGAAGTGAAAAAAGCCAAAGTACTTATTAAAAGTAATTCATTATTTCATTTTATTTTAATTTACATATCATTAATGCTGTTTGCTTTCATAAACTAAAGGCAGGTTTTAATTCTGATTTATACAAATCATGACTGCATTTCACATTTTTAACACATCTCAATTTACATAAAAATCTCAAGAAATTGTATTCTTACCTTTTATTCATACAATAATTTAGTTAATTCTGACTTTTTAAAGTGTTATTTTTTATTCATATCAATTTTAAAGAATAAATGAAATTCATTATTATAAAAAATTTTACCTAATAATTTTTCCAGTGCATCCCTATGGTTGAAAAAAATGGTATGTATACGTTCTACTTCTCTGTCTGAATCAATCTGGACACAAATATCTGCCGGAACACTAGCTGTAACAGGACAACATCCAGCTGCAGTTTCACTATTTGCTTTACAGCTATAATAATAATAAAAACTTTTGAGAAAAATTTATTAGTATGTGTAAATAAAAATCAATTATTGTATAAATAAAAAAGTTTTTCTGTTTATTAATATCAATTAAATTTATATTTAACTGAATTTCAAAAGCATTATAATAATTTTTCTATATTTGAGTAAAATGTTTTATTAAAATAACTGCTTTCATTTCTTTGTTCCATAATTTTTATAAAATCTAAGAATAATTTTGTCAAGTTTAGAATTTTTAAAGAATTTATCTGCTCTACAATATTTATACTCATCCTGTATATAAATATACAAAAAATTTAAACAGATACAGCTTTCATAAAATCAAAATTTATGTAATAGTACACATCCATAATAAATTTAATCAAATTGTGATTTTTTTGAGTGGATTATATAATCTGACACAATTTAAATGAGGAAAAATGTTTAAAGTAGACACCAATAGCATGCCACATCAAGAAAGACTGTAACTGAAATAATATGTATAGAACTACACAATAAATTTTGATAATTTTTATATGTCATCATCAGGCAAAAATGTTCAAAAATCGAATAGTTTTTAAAAGTACTGTTTAATTTTTGAATGTTTCACTTGAAGACAGATATAAAAGCTATTAAAAGTTCTTGCATAGTTTTGTAAACTTTGTTGTTTCATTATATACAGTAGAGCGTCGATTTTCCGAATCAATTGGGAACTGGGGTTGTTCGTATAACTGATATTTCGGATAACCAATTTATGTACGAAAAAATAGTTTAACGTATTCGATGTTAAAATTTTTATCCGTTGTGTGTCGCTTTGCGTTGAATTTTCGTTGATGTTAAGCCTAACAAAGACTATTGTATTGTTAAAAATTATTTTTTTATTTTGTACAAACAAAATAAATATATTGAAAAATATAAAAACAATAAAAAATTATACTTAAGATGTTAATTTAGTATCAATAATGTAAAATATTTGAGTAGCCCAAGACATAGCCAAAGATTGAAGCGCCACAGCACTGGCGAAAATTTAAATTTGCAGACTGGAATTCTTTCGGATGATTGACTTTCGGAAAATCGACGCTCTACTGTATATAATATTAAGAGTCAGAATTATTCTTTCAATCAAAGAAAAAAATGTTTATTTGTAAAATTGTTCTTTACCAAGTACCTTCTCTACAGTTCTCTATATTCTACAGTTGTTATTTTACATTAATTTGAACACCTTCAAATTTTATTTTGTAGCCAACACACTGGAGAATTAAATTTAATAGGTTTAGATAAATAGGAAAAAATTATTGAATGATATCAAATAAACATTGTTGACTTGAAAATGATCAAATGAAGATTAAACATTAAAATATAATTTTTTTTTATATTGTAAGAAAAATCATTAAAGTTTGAATATGTAAATGGAAGTATTTTTCATTGAAAATACAGAGCTGCATGTATGATAATGAAATTCTTTGATATTAAACATAAGTGTGTTCTTACGTATTAAATATATGTTCTTACAGGGGTGACAAAAAATTAGTCACCCCTGTAAGAACATATCTATTAATAATAAGTGACAGCGCAAGAGTACTGTCAGATGATTTTCAGTCAACTGCAAACTGTACCACTGTTTGTATACCTGCTGGATGGTATGATTAGACACACCAACAAATTGTACAAGGTCACTTTGTATCCATGAGCACAGCCAAACACAATGGCTCCTTTATTACCACTAGATAACGTCTATTGTACGACCTATACTGCAGACTCAATTCAACACACAGGTTGCTCTTTGCCACTTCAAGAGACAGAAATGACCCTGTACACCACATCCACATTATTTATCTCCCAAAATTCTATCATGGTAACCAGTAACAACCTATTGTCATTTCTACTGGTTTGATGAGGAACAGGACAACATATATTGGACAGACTGTCCATGAAAAATTCCTGAGAAGATTCACCCAGATTCAATCCTGGGCTTCCCAGAGTCACAAACTGATGTCTTTACTGCCCCAGTCATTTGGTCAGCAAATTTCTAGATTAATAATCAAATAGTTTATTAATAATTAAATAAGTAGTTTTTAAATTAAACTATTACAAAATACTTATTTAATTGAAAAGTAAATTAATAATTATTAATTAATGGATTCACTTTGAATTATCTTTATTTGTTGAACCAATTATTAAAGAGAGAACCAAGTATGTTATAACATTTAAATGCATGTAAGTGTTCTAAAATTTTTAGTTTAAAAATATATTTGTTTGTTTACAAATAAAAATTCTAACTGCAATTAAATTTATGTTGAAAACTACAGTCAACTATTGAAACAATCTAAATAAACTAATTGATAATAAAATAAAAAAAAAACTAAATATCACCAATTTTATTACAATAAAATTTTAATGAAAACAACTATTTTCATTAGAATATTAAATAATCCTGACAAAAACATGATTCCACACATACTATTCTGTTTGTTACCTAGGGTAACCTGTCTCAGGTCTACAACTTTTCTCATGTAATTTAATGTTCAAGAATTAAAATTAAGAAACAATGCAATACAAAATTTGCAACAGATTTATTATATTATCTTTCTTTCTTTGTAACATCATTTTGAAATAAACTGGAATGTATCCAACATAATACAAGAAGTTAGTGACCTCCAAAATGCAAGATATTTTCATTTTATCAAACAAAAAAAAAAAAAAGAAACAAACGATATTGTCTCAATGCCAAGATGAAAATTCTTTCATTAATATTTGATTAATGTATATATACATTAAAATTAAGTAATACATTAATTTGTTTCTTCATTTTATTTAGACTGAACTATTAAAATACATATATTTCCACATTTTTATAAATTATAATTTTTAATTTTATACATTTTTTTCTTATGTGATATTGTTATTCAGATATTTCTTCAAATTGTTTCAAGATATAAAAACAGCTAAAATATTTTTTTGGATTTGAATGAATTTCAACACGGGATAGGTTACTATATTTTTTCATGCATAATCGGTTATTCGAAAAATCATTTTCCAAACAACCCCAGTCCCCAATTGATTCAGATAACCAATGCTCTTCTATACTTAACAAAAGTAATTTTATTTTTAAGAAAACTATCTATCCAAATCAACTTATATATTGTTACACTACAGAAGAAATATAAGAATTTTAATACAAATAAACAACTGCATTAAAACTGATTTTATCAGCATAATCAGAAAATTTTGTAGACCAATAAATTCCAACTGCCGTCTATCTGTCCTTCCTTAATCTTGAGAACAGAGTTAGATAGATGAAAATCAAGACCAGATATGGAAATCCTAGGAACAGGAGGTCCTGATTAACTACATACAAACTTCCAGTTTGCACCAAAAGTCACATTATTTCTATTAAAAAATTTTCCCTTGAAAGGAGTTAGACAGATGACCGACACGACTCTATTGCTAACAGGAAAAGTATGATGTATATACAGGTGCAAAAGACTACAATTTGAAGTGGAGAACATATATTTTTAAATTAAATAAATTAAAAATATGATTAAAAATTGCAGTCTGGCATTGTGATGTCACAATAAAATAATTACTCATTAGAATTAAATAATTTCCTATTAAAGAAAATATTACTGGAAAAAAATGAATTCAACATATGTAGCTGATAATTTAGTTTATCATATAAAATTGTATTAGTCATTTCAGTTGACATTCATAATTTCAATTAGAAAATAGAGGAAATTTACTATTAATGTCTGCTAATAATAATCAATTTCAACAGATAATAACTAAAATAGCAACAACTTCAACATTTTATAAAAGAAAGAATAATTGATTATTCTCAAAGGATGTACTATTTGAAAAATAACAGTAATGAACTAAAATACAGTAGCATCTTGTTTAACTCACATAAAAAAACTGATATACATGAATTCATTTTCACAGATGGCAACTTACTGCTTTGCCTGTAGTAATTAAAAATAAAACACCATTGAGGTTAAACATATATTACTTGATTTGAATCATAGTGAATCATTTTTGAAAATTTTTTGTGATAAATAGAATTTCCAATGATCAATTTTCAACATATGATCATTTTCAAATCTCTTCTGAAATCTTTAAAGATACGCACTTAGAATATGAAAAAAAAAATTATATGGTCAAAGTTTTATCACACTTCAAATAACTTAATTCATAAATCTTGATATTTAAACATAAAATCCATTTTAAAAAGCTTGTTATTAAATAAAAATTTATAAAATATTTAACCAAAATATTAAAAAATTAATATTTACTCATTCATATTCTATAAGCTTAACAATGTTAACTTTTAATTAAATTGATTTACATTTAAAAAGATCTTTTCTAAAAAATTTTATGGTGTTCAGTAATTAATGAAAAAAATTATAACTGGTTATATTTTCTAATTAATGTCAAGTAATAAAATAAGTTAAACAGTTAATTAACTGATAATTTTCTCACATATATATAAAGCAATATGAAATTTAAAAGCATTGTTTTCTTTACATAAAATTCTGTAAATCACAAATGTTTTATTTATATATTTAGTTTATATATTTTATATGTATTATTCATCTACAATAACTTAAAATACAACAGATAGATCATATATATATAAATTTCTATTCACAAATTTCATTCTAATGCCCAACAAAGGATAAATGTTTGAAAATGTTTTGTACTTCAGAAATCCTAAAATAGTAATATTATAAAATGTGTAGTGCATGCAGAAGGTTAATGTGCTAAAATTTTCCTTCAATGACCTTGAAAAGTTATTTATAAGCAACCTATGATAGCTGCTTTATTGTTATAGATATAAATCTTTCCTTTAGAAACTAATGCTCTAATATTTTTTTCACTGATGAATTTTTAAAATGCTTTATAAAATATAATTTATGCTTTATGAATGAATGAAGTTGATTGATCATAAATATGATGAATCAACTTAATTTTAATTTGCTCGTTAGTGTAAAAAAACCGTTTGTTTGAAATAGATATTTCAAACAAACTGTAAAAAACTAAAGTTTACGAAAACAACATTTTATCTTTATTATTTGCAAAAAAGAACATATATAAGTAACACACCCATTTACCTGTTACAACCCTTGACCTGTATAACATTGAAATAAAACCATTTGCATCAGGTTTGCTTACTACAAGGAGAATGTTTATTGTTTATTTTTAATCTTAAATAACTTTTACCTATGTATAATGATTATAATACATTATTTTAATAAAAGTAATTATTAGAAAGTAGATGTTTTCTCTATAAATGCACAAATAAAAATTATACATGCATTAATTTAAAAAGTTTTGATTTTGATAATTTTATTTTACTTTAGATATAGTAAATTATCTTCAAGTAATGTTTTATTAGTTCTTTCAATCTATATTGATTGGAAGAACCAATATAATAAATTATTTCAATTATTAATTTCCAAAGTATAAATTTTTTCAATTTCTTTAAAATTTCTTAGGAAAGTGTAAATATATATTTTGAAGTATATTTAGAGTTTAATTTTTAGAGAAGAAAAATATATAGGGTGTCTATAAAGTAAACACCATTTTCAGTTACTTGTAACTCATTATGTGGGAGATATACCCGGATGAATCAGCTGTCCCATGTAAGACCACACCATCTGGTTTTCTTCAGTATAGTTATTCCTGTTGTAGTTAATGTTGGCCAACAGAAGCATATGTAAAACATGACATTTTCTGCTGCTGATGAAGCTCTTTGCATCTCCAATTTTACAGAAATTGGTGTGCTACCCAGATGCAATGTTTTTTTTTGCACTGAGCACAGAACCGATCAGGAAGTCTAGTATGAAATGGCATAATCAATTTATCATAACAGGTTGTTTATGTTCACAGAAGATGCTCAGTCATCCAGTTTGAAACAAACACATTGAATGTGTACAAGAGACATACAGTATAAATATAGCCCTAAGAAGTCATTGCACAGAGCCACTTGTGATATGGAAATGTTGCACTAGATAGTGTTGAAGGTGTTAAAAAACAATTGTAAATACAACCATACAAATTGCAAGTGTATCAAAAACTCACAAGCCATGACAGAGATGATTACTTTAACCTCACCTGTGCTTTACTAGAGTTTATGAGGTGGACAGGTTTATGGAGTGTGTTGTGTTTAGCAGTAAGACAACTTTCATGAGTGAAAGGTGAATAGACATAATTGCTGAGTTTGGGGGACTGAGAACCCACATGCCATGATTTATAACCAGCGTAATTCATCCAAGTTGAATGTGTTGTGCACCATCTCACAATGAAAGATATACAGCCCATATTCTCTTTGTTGGAGGATGTGGTCGCTGGAATATCCTATACTGACATGCTCCAGAACTAGTAAATGCTGTAGGTGAATGGTGATTGGTGATTACCTGTATCAGCAAGACAGAATACTACCCTGCCACCAACAGTTCATGCTTACTTCAATCACGTACTTCCAGTATGGTGGATAGGAGTATGAAAAAATGACAATATTTCATTGCATGACCCTAAGATCCCAATTTATCATCATCATGATTTTTTCTTGTGGGACACATCAAGGACAAAGTGTTCATATCACATCTGCCATGTAACCTGGGAGAACTGCAAATGAGGATTAAAGAAGCTGCAGCCACAGTGACATTTGATATGTTATGTAAAGTCTGGCAGAAGTTGAACTACTGCATCAATGTTTGTCATGTCACATACAGCATTCACATTGAGTCAGTGTAATGTAATGTCAAGATTATGAAACCTAAAAATGTGCATGAAATGAGTCATAAAACATCATCTAATGAACCACAGTATTTGCATAATAAATTTTTTAAATGGGACTTAATTTTATAGACACACTGTATACCATTCTTTATTTCAAAAATAGTCTCATTTCAAACTGATTAATAAATTTATTAATAAATACACTTTATCCAAATAAAGAAAAAAAGAAATAAAGAAAGAGAGAGAGAAATACTTTTTAATTAAAATCTATAATAATCCATAAACTTATAATTAAAATTTACAATAAGGTTACATTAAAATCATAAAAAATATTGACTATTTTACTAATGAAGAGCTAAATGATACCATCAAAAATAACTAAATTATTTGCTCAATTTTAATAATTTAAAAAAAGAGTTTCAACTTATAAAATATAATAAAATAAGCATTTTATTTCAAGTGAAATTATTTCTAATGTAACTGATAAAATAAATTATTTATTTTACAGAATACCTCAGATTTTTTTCCATGTAAATAATTATTTTATCTTACTATTAATGTATAGACAGAACAATGGTCTGGGGATATATTTTACAGATTTATCTTGAAAAGAAATTACTTTGAGAACTATCAGCATATAAAAATTGAATCTGCTAATCCAGAGTCCATATTCCACTCTTAATCTCATTGAGAACTTTTTGGATAAATTGGATTATTAAAATCACAAAAGGAGAGACTGACCAAAAGACAAAACTAAGATAACCAGTGCTATAAAAAAATGAATGATGAAAAACATTAAAAGGACAAATGCTCTTTATCAATTTTTCATATTACAAACAGTAAAGGCTGTAATACAGATTAACAATTTTATCATTCATTACTAATTTCCAACAAATAAAAATCTCTTTGTAAATAAATTATTTTTATAGCATATTTATAAACCACATTAAAATGAATTATTTAAACAGCAAAAATATATAGATTACATTATGTGCATTGATAACAACAAATATAAAACTAGTAAATGCTTCATAAAATATTGCACATTAGAAATTTTATATTACAAATACAAAAATATAAAATCCTGTATTTTAAAACTTAATTTTTTGTCATAAATAATTGATTAATATAAAATTGACATTTTCATAGTTTAAATGGCTTTTCAAATTTATATAAAATTAGTATAGGTATCCCTTGCTTAATGAGGTTTTGCTTAACATGGGATTTGATTAATGCACAAAATTAATTGCAGCAATCTCTTTATCTGTGGTAGAGTTTTAATTAACATGGCTTTACCAGCTGTCTTTACTTAACATAGATATCATATTTGATTAATGTGATTTTGATATACGTGGTAACATTGAGGGATTAATTAACTGTGTTAATCAATGAATACCTATATATTTAAAATAAATTATCTATTTTTATTTTACCTTACATATCATTACATATACATATTTAAATGTTTTAAATTTAAGTTTTGATCAACATTATGAAATCTTAATTTTAACATAACTTAAAACTAAAATAATTTATAATTTAAATATATAAAAAGTTTAATTTACTAAACATACCATAACCAATGTCCATTTATAAAAGCAGCTGGATGATATTCTGTCAGCCTATTTAAATTACTTTGGCAAATTTTAGTCAAGATATCTATCCATTCTTTTTCTTCAACACAATTATTAGCTTGTATATACAACACTCTTCTATTTGGCTGAATAACTTGGAACATCTATTTAATAAAAATTTTCATATATTTAAGAAAGAAAAAAAACTATATTAAGGTACAAGAAATTAATACCTATAATATCAATATATTTATAATCATTGTTTACATAACAAATAACCAATATAAGTTCATAGCTAGCATTAAGAAAAAATTAAAAAAAAAGTTTTTTCTTCATGAAGTTAGTATGTAAATGTATATATATTCTAATTATCACAGAGGTCATATTCACTTTTGCAATGTAAAAAAATGTGAAACATAGGCAATTTCTAACAGAAAATAGAGTTTTATAGAATTGTTTTTTAAGATGGGAGTTAGATGCTTTTTTTAAATTTTTATTTTGTAGCAATATCCTATCACTCTATTGTAATTTTTCTAGAGACTGGAAAAATTACAAGACATATTCACAGTAATTTAAAATACTAAAAGTAATTATAGTTTATTAATTTAATTTTTGTTCATTATTAATGAATTTCTTTTATTAGAAACAAATACCAACAAAGAGTTTTGGAAATTCATTTCAGTTCGGTTAGTAGTCTTAAAAAAAATCTGTCTGGCATTAATGGTAAATTTTTAATTTAAATTATAAGTTGGTAACTGAAATTCTTTATAAACATTTAAAATATGAACTCTAATGTATAAGCTCCATTTCTTGCAAAAAATGAATAATGATTCATACAAAAAAATTTGGCAGGCATTAAGTAGAATCTAACATTTATTAGTAGTATACTGAATGTTGTAATTAGCTAACAACTACCAAAGCATATTTGTTTTCTAACAAAACTAAAAAACAAAGACTAATTTCATCTCAAAAACACTTATTTTTAAACATATTATAAATTTATGTAACAGTGTTTATAGAATTTAATTTAATACATACTGTTAACAACTAATTAGGTTATGAATGTTTTTAGGAAGATGCTTATACTGTATTGCCTTAGGTAATAAATAAATAATAAAATCTCTTTACACTTACACTTATCTTACTTATTCTTTACTCTTATCACTTACATTTTTCATTTTAAAAGATTCTTCTTGTAATCTTTCAACTCCTAAAATTTCATCTATTCTAATTCTATACAATGGTGTATCACCTATATGACAACAATATTAATAAAGGAGTTAAAAAGTTATTTATTTCAAAATAAGATATTTTTTAATCAATAATTTGTGTACTTGTTATATCCAAGTTTTAATTTTTAATGCATCAATTACTATTCAAATTAATCTGACTCATAAAAAAATATAAGAAAATGAAATTATACATGGTAGCAGGAAGATATTTTTTTTATCTTTGAAGAACATTTAATAAAAGTTTATATAAATATCTCATGTTTATTTTATTAAATATATGTAGTATATATCAGTATATTGTATATAAATTGAATGAAAAATAGCACATTTAAAAACTGAATAAAAAATTAACACAAATTTAATTTCTTTTAAAATAGTGACACTATTAAAAAATCTATAAAGTTATCTCCAGAAATCTATCATCATCATCCAAAATTATAATTACAGAGCAGTGGTCTGTTATAAGCTAAAAAATTCATGACGCCATCATTATTTAAAATTTTACAATATGGTAAAATGCTATATATCTAGCCGTTTTTCAACTTTCGTGCAGGAGCAAAATGGACAGAATTTTTAAGATTTCATCCATCTAAGTAAATGTACCTAAAAATTTATCATTTTGCAACTTTATAAAATTCTAATCAGTATCGTACGAGCTTGGATCACATGACCCAGTCGGAATATATGATGATGTGGCTCTGGGAACCTATGTGAAATGGTAGTACGGCAACTAGAAAACAAGGTCTTCCCTCAATACCTCCACAACATCCAATTATATAGGAGGTATATAAATGACATCATCATTATCTGGAAAACAACGCCAGATGCAACAACCTTTGTCGATTCTTTCCACAATAACCCGTACGGCTTGACTCTAAAAATAGAGCTATCTCACCCATCAGAAGTACACTTTCTGGATATTAGCATTAAGGTCGATAGCTCGGGAATCAATACGTCGGTATATCATAAACCCGGAGCCACATCATCATATATTCCGACCGGGTCATGTGATCCGAGCTCGTACAAGACTGCAGCCTTTAGAGCATTAATCAGAAGAGCCTTTACGCATTCTAATCAGTATCTGACAAATACATCAATTGACAATCAATCAGAAATGTGATGACCTATTTCATAACCAATCAAATCAGAAATGCAGACAATTGTCTTTGTTACTTAGCAACAAATGTATTTTACAAATTTTTGTATTTTCTTTAGTATCATAGTAGGAAGAAAGCAGTTTTTAAGAAAAACATTTGTCATTTTGCTTTCTAGTATTCTTGTTTCACTTTTTCTAACAGCTGCTAAATATAATTGATATCAGAAATGTAAAGAAATTCTGTCTGATATTTAAATCTATTTTCAATACTTTTAATCTATATGCAATAATTTTAATCTTGATTTCATCTTTAAAATAGTTATATAAAGGAATTACTTATTAAAGAATTAAAAATTTTAATACAATTCCAAAAATCCACAAATAAAATTAAATATATTAGTATTTATGCATTACTTAAAAAATATTAACATTATATCAAAAATATTCAGAATTTTATCTGATTACATGCAAATGAAGGCATTTGAAAAACTTTACAGGATAAAATAAACTAGAATGTTTTTATAATCGTACAATAGGAAATGTGTAATTTAATTATCAAAACCATATGATTTAGAATAGAAATTTCTCATTTTTTTAAGCAAAAAATAAGCAATTTACATAAAATAAATAATTCACAATAATGTATATATTTTTAAAAATTTATTTATTTACATTTAATAATGCATATTAAATCATTAAACATTAGATCTCAATAAATAGTTTTATTTTTATCTCATTTAAGCTGATGTATTTGATATATTCAAATTTGTACATGTCCAGATAAAAGAAAGAAATAAGAATATACACAGGCCACTGGTTAAACAAAGTTGATAAAGAGAAATGTATTACAATTTTTTACAGCTGTATTTTATTTATTATAAATTTCTCAGAAAAATTTAATGCTCTTATTTAATTACTGAAGTCAAATTCTGTATTTTTATTTATATAATTTATCATATTTATTAATTGAAAATGAAATCAATTAAATTGTTATTAACCTATTTATGAATAATCTGTAGGCAATTTCATATAATTAAAAGAGAATATTTAATAGAACTTCTGTATGTAGAACAATACTCAGCCCAATTACAAATAACAATACTTGACATTTCTAATTCAGTAATAGAGGCTAGACAACATATCTTTTTATATCATCAAATTCTTAAAACTCTTAATCCAATAATTTTAATTAAGTTTTTTAGTATTTAAAATTTAGTGAAACAACTAATTAACAAATATAAACTTTTTAAACAATAATATATTTATTGATGATACATACAATATAACTGAAAAGCAAAACAGAAAAGCATATCAAAATTATATAGCATTATATGATTTTCATTTGTTATTACATGATAACTTGCAGAAATAAAAATTAATATTTCAAATAAAAGTTATCAAAATTTGTTACAACTTTAAAGAGAATTCACCTTCTAAACAATCCTTAATTAAAGACTTAACAATTAATAATTTGTGATTTGAAAATAAATGTTTTTCTTGAATATAATAGTAACTTATTTTCATCCCCTATCTCTCTGCAATTCAAATATCATTAAAAAATTAAAAAGTTTCCAAATAAAAATATATTTCATTTAATGTTGTAAATTAAAAATTTAGAATATAGAAACCAATAAAAGTAATGTAACTTAATTAAAAATAGCTAATGAATTTTTAACTGTACAAATAATTTTAATGATTCAAAGAAATCATGTTTCATAAAATACTTTTTGTTACATACCACTGTTAATTCAATTTATTATAATTTTATTATTTATAGACTAAATTATTTTTAATAAAGTTTATTTATGTTATTAAATAGAATTTACTTATATATTTTTGTCTTTTTTTTCTTCTATATTATCAACTACTTTTTCCAAATATAGATGAATTTCATGTTGTTTAATTAATTAATTAAAATAAAAAATAACTTTTTCTATTAATTAATTAATCCATGTATTCAAAATTATTACATTTTTACATTATTATATTTTAAAATAAAATTTTTTCAGATTATGGTGATTATTAGCATAGCCATAAATAAAAAAGATCAGTAGATTGAAAGTACTTGTGAATTAAAATAATTTTTCTGCTGGCTTAAAAGTTGGTTTTTTTTAATCATCATTCAATATCAATTTGGACTTTGCTAAAATTGGAATATATACAAATTTTCTGTATTATTCTATAAATTTTACATTTTCAGTAAATTCTCAATTTCTAAAATACGTGTATATATAGAAACATCACCAAATGATTGCCTAAATAATCGGGCTATAACTCCACTATTATTTAGGCAATCGTTTGGTGATGTTTCTATATACTTATTGAGCTTTGCATTGTTTGTTATACATATGTATATATGATGTATGAATATTTCTTACTATCAACATGATGAAAATAATAGCTATGTAAACTTTTAAATAATTTACTAACTTTGAAATTAAAAAACTTACCTTTTACTTTTGAATAAAATAATTCCTGAGTAGTTATACAAAAGTAGCGTTTTTTGAAATTCTTGATTCCAAATTTTTTTCTTCCTTGTGCACGTTTAATCATAATGCTAGGAGGATAAAAAAAACAGAATTAAAATTGCTTATTAATAATAACAACTAAATTAGATTTCAATATTTTTTCAAAATAATTTAAAATATGCAATAGAAAGGTGCACCATTTTTTATTTGGTAAAAAAATTAAAGAATTATAATAATTTATTAGAAAATCATATGCAGATAAATCCTAATAAGAAAAATATTTTCTTCAATAGACATTATATATAATTATTTTAAGATTTACATACAGTAAATTTTTGTATGAACAAATATATTTCTTTAACAAATGAGAAGTTATCTTATATATCTTAAAAAATTTTAAGCAATGCCAGAAAGACTATCTTCTATCAGATGTAATCATCATAAAATCTCAATTTATTTGATGCTATTAATACTATTAGAACAAGAATATTTATTTTAAAATGTTTCAAATTTACACTTAAAACTAAAATAAGAATTAAATTATAACTAAGAACAAAATTTCATTGTTATCAAATACCATAACCTCATAACTTTATGTTTTAAAGGAATAAAATAATGAATGTAAAACAAATAAAATATTAATCAAACTGGATTTTTTCTCAAGAGGCATCAATATTCTATAAACACTATACATAGGTATAGTTTTGTCCCTTATGAATGGCACAAACCTTCAATGACCATTATGATTTTTTTTACTGTCCTTTGGGCACTTAAAGGACATTTTTTCAGGCCCACAATGGGGCAGCCAGATTTTTGAGAGATAGATTCTGAAATATCTGGGACATCCTTACAAAATTTCTGGATCTCAAAATTCCCACAACAGTAGTTTGATGTCTTAATTGCCTCATCCATCCAGCCAGCCATTATGATTGCAGTGATATCCATGAAAATTCACTAATATCCACATCAATCCCAGATTCCTTATATCATGAAGGGGAAGATTTCAAAACAACAATAATAGAGTTCATATATCACTATTACTTAGATAATATAAGCATCTTACAAATTAGATTAAAAATAGAATACTTATAAAATAATTTATATACAATTTATGGCAAAATTATATATATTGTCTTACATAAATCATAAAAACATTAGAGAGATCAGAAGAATGATATATTTCTACAAATATTATTGCAACTTGATGATTCATTATGCATTATTTTCTGTATTAAGACAAATTAAAAATAAATAATTTTCTGCATAAAAAAATATACAATATCATATTACATCAAATAAAAATTTAACTGTGGTTATGACCACTTCATCCTCAGGCTATGAAATATAATTATTATTTATTATATTTTATTCCAGTACATGGTATGGCCAATGTCATCTTAATCCTATTCATAAGCACATTGACAATGCAATATAACATAAGAATTTATTGTACAGTAAACCCCTGCTAACTCTTACAAATTTTTTTAACAATAGAAAAATTACAATTAGTGTTCTTGATATCTGGAAGCCTTTGTGATACTGTGTATTATATTACTGTAGTTGGTATGGTACTAAAGCTGCATGTTACTGTATATTGTACTGCCATAAAATTTTTGAGCTCATTTCCTGTAATAATAAATTCAGCAGTATATTTATCTTATTAAAGTACATTAAAACTTATGCATAAAGCTAACTGTAATAAATTATGTACTATGTACACCTTCTCATTTTCCACATCATCCAAGAAAATACCCCACTAACTCATAACTTTCACCCCTATGGGGTTCAAGTTATCAGGGGTTTACTGTATATTAGTTGAAATAACTAAAAAAGGACAATTGAACAAAAAATTTATTAAACATGGTGCATTTCCATTCTGTGTAATATTTTTTGAAGCAAATAAAATAATTCTAAAAAATTATTATTAGATTACAAAATATTTTAGTTGTATTTGTCAACAAGTTATATACAAATAATTTTATTTATCAACTAGCTGTTACCCACGACTTCATCCGCGGAGGTTTTGCAAGCAAACCCCATTTACATTCAATATTTCAATAACCATAGTAATTGTCATATAACACCTACCGCTGAAGAGAATTGCCAAGAATCAAATGAACTATTTTCAATTTGATCAATTTTCTGGAACGTTTACAATCATTCTATAATCGAACCAATATGCAATAACAAATTCTAATTTAAAACGGTTCGAACATTTTTAAAATTGAAATAGATAAAAATATTTATAACAATGTCTGAAATGTTATCAATTTAATACACCTAAGTACTCAATGAAGACTAAACGTAGTTGAAAACAAAAAATCGCATCTAAAATAGTACAGTAAAAGCCGTTTTTCCGGTTAATCCTTAATGCTCTCCCTCTCCCCCCCACTTGGAAATTTCGAAAAATCCCTTCTTAGTGTACCCTAACTGTGTACCAAATTTCACCTCTCTAGGTCCAGCGGTTTGCTCTGGGCGATGATGAATCAGTCAGTGAGTCATTCAGTCATTCAGGACAAGCAATTTTATATATATAGATTAAAATTAATTTTGATAGCAACTGAATTAGCTAATAATAATAATAATAATATGTATAATATGATTATAATTATTATATTATTTAATACCAAAACTTTCTCCAATACTACAAATGATTCTTATGTAAGTTCAATAAAAATAAATTTTTTACTATATTAAAAATTAATGCTTACCATATCTAATTTCCTTTGCAAGCTTGGAAAACACATTATAGTTAAAATAATTTTAAGTTTAAATTAATTATAATATTTTATTACTAATTTAACTAATTTTAGATTTAAATAAAACCTAAAAATACTAAAATTCTGTTAAATAATTACAATATTTAATACAAAGGGATTCTAGAGTCCACGTGCAGTATTATAATTTAATAACTATAAATATAAAAATGTTGAAACTTTGAAATAAATAATGTTTAAGAACCTAACTTTTATAGTTCTTTTTTATATAAATAGGTCATTTAATTTAAATGTTGAATAGCATATTTAAAATTTAAACTGGAAAAACACATTTATCATACTAGAGATATTTATAACACATTAATTGTTATGTCTAAAATAAACATAAATAATTATTTTTCTACATGTAAAACGATTTCAAGTTTGATTTTGGACACTATTGTATTCAGAATTTATATTTTATGATCATGCTCATGACAAAATTCATGTTGTATGACTATCACATTCTCAAAACTACTAAATCATAATCAAAATATATTAATTTATGTAGTAAAACAATTTATCAATTGCTTTCAAATCTGAACAATCTTCAAGTCAGTTCTGAAAGCAATTCTAGTTTTAACCTATAAGAAATTGGGCTTCCTTTTTTAAACTCAAATATTTAATAACTAAAATGAAATAAAATAACCTGTTAAAAATCAAAATTATTTTTTCAATTATAAAGAGCAAACTGTTATAAATTCAATATCTATTAAGTATATAGTACTTCAAAATGTTTTAGGGAATCTAGTACAGCGTTTCTCAAAGTGGGCGATAACGCCCCCTTGTGGGCGCTGGAGGCTTTCAGGGGGGCAGTAGAAGGCTCAAAGAGAATTGGGGGGCGTTAAGGAAATATAGAGGGGTGACAGCAGATAAATTCTATATATAAAAATTCGATGGAATATATATAAAATGTTGACATTTTATATATTTTTTATTGAAGGTCACAACTTGAATATTTCTAACACATTGACTTTTATTTTAGCTCAGCGTTTCTCAAAGTAAGCAATAACGCCCCTTCTGGGCGATGAATAGATCTAGGGGGCGCTGGAGGCAGGGTATTGAACGGTGACCAAAGGTAAAATTGGGGCTGATCAGAGGAAACATTGCATTTAATGGTTTCCAGATGATGAGAACAATGTACAGTAAGGGCACAAAGTGTGAGATTCATAGAAAAGTTTTCCTAAGAATATTTCCAATTCTTTTCTCACACAAGAGAAAATGGGTTAGGGGGCATTGGATATAACTTTATGGAACAAAGGGGGCGGTGGATCGAAAAAGTTTGAGAATCACTGATCTAGTATGTTATGAAATTATATTGAAATCAATTAAGGATATATAAAATTTTCAAATATCATCATAAATTGGCTGAATTTACTAAAATACAACAATAAAACTTACCCTTCTTTCAATATAATTGGGGTATCATATGGGCGAGGATAGCAACCCCTTGATGATGATGATATTAATTCTAAAAACTGTCAAAATTAAATTCTATTATATAAAGGCAAAAATAATAAATCTTAATTACTTTAAGAGATTTATTAATTTAATATTTTATTTAAAAAACAATCATTCATCTTCAAATTATGATGATATACTTATCCAAATATTAATACCAAGATATTAACTGAAAGTTAAGATTTAATATTACTTTGGTAACAGCAGCTAAATTTTAATGATTATTACAGATAAATTTTAAAAAATAATACTTAATATATTGCAGTAATGTTTTTAAGCATTATAAAATTTGTTTTTCAATTTATAATTTTTATTATTCTCTATCAGTGTTAATTCTTTTGCAGTTTTTTGTGTTAATTTTAAACTGAATCTAATTAAGCAAGCACTGTTTAAGAATGTTTTCATAAAACAGAATTTAATTTCCTACAGAGTTTTTAATTTATGTAATACTAAAAATTTCTATAAATAACTTACATCTGTTTAATGAAATTATATAAACAGAATGAGATTTTGTTTCTAATAAATTTTTTATAAAAAAATAAATTATTAACTTTTAATGATTTTTCATATTTAGTGTTGCTAAGTAATACACCAACATTACAATATTTTTTAGTATTACTCTGTTTTATATACAGTCCTTCCAACAATAATAGAACATACAGTGATTACCTAGAAACTCTCTATTATTTTCATGTAACTTTGACAAAATTTTCATCAAAGTTACATGAAAATAATAGTTTCTAGGCAATCACTGTATGTTCTATTATTGTTGGAATAACTGTACTTAGAAGTACATTTTTTATGATAAACTTTTTAAGATATTTTAAAATTATAATATTAAACCCGATCTTTTTCTATAACAAATTATTTTTGTTTGTTTTTTTTTTAAAAAGTATTAATTTTTTTTTGTTTTTAAAAATATGAAAAAAGCAATAAAAAGTAGCTATATATAAAATAGTTGTATGTTGTCTGAGTGAAAAAGTCTCTAACAAATCACACACTAAATTATCAACTGTTTAAAAAGTTATAAAACTTACCACTCGAACTGCTTCTATATGATGGTCAGTAATAAAATCTCTGTATAAATTAACCATGTAATCTTCTTTAAATATTTGTTGAGGCTAAAAAAGTAAATAATTCACTTAAATAAATATGGATTAAAATTTTAAAAATTTATGTATTAATCTCATTGTTACATTTAAAATTTTTAAATAGAAACAATACTCACTGATTTTGAACTAACAAGATTACCTAGGCTTTGAATTGTTTTAGAGATTAATGTTAATGTCCTATTTGTTTGAGCATCCTAAGAATATCAAAAGATAAATCAATGCATAAAATTAATTTTGAAATATAATTGCATTATAAATTACTTACAACTGGTTCTGTCACTAAGTCAAATAATTTTGGTCCTAAAATTGCAGGTGCAAAAAACCGCAAGAAAACAAACCCTGAGATGACAGAATATCTAACTTCCCTACTACTTGAAAAATATCGTGTGGCTGAATCTTTCAAAACAGAAAAAACTTCACACATTATAGGAGGACAAACCAATGCAGAACTTGTAATAGCACAAAAAGTTTTTTCAACATATTCTTTTAGATTTAACTATAAAAGAATAAATATAAAAGTCAATTAGAATCTAATAAAATATAATTTAATATATAAATTATAATTTTAAAATATTTTCTGTAAATATTTACAAATTAAATTTAAACATTATTATTGACATTAACAAAATATTTAATTATTCATAACAGTTCATATTCAGTTAATAATAATAAATGATTGATTGAGTCAGTTTATTATTATTATTATTATGTAAATATCAATTAGTCACACTTTACACTGTAATCTGCCACCAATCAGAATTAATGTATGTTCCCCAATAAAAGAATCATTTATATAATTATTAAACTGATTTATATTAATACTAAATGGTTAGGAAGTCAATAATAAAATATTTATTAATAAAAAATTAAACACCTAAAAGAAGAATAAGAGATTACATCATGTCTATTAATTTAAAACAACATAAGAACAAAATGTATTCAAATAAAATATTTATGTATTTTAAATTATAACAATTTTAAATTAATCTAAGATTAAAATCAGTCAAACATGATTTAATTAATTAATATTTTATTCTTCTATATATGAAACCATGTCAATCTTCTTATTTGATTATTTCTCACAATGAAGTGTAATATAAATAGCACAAGGCTTTCTTTACATATTTTATTACAATATTTTATTCTAAACTTCATCCAAAAGAACACAAAATTAAATTTTTTAACATTAACAACTATTTCAGTTTGTTACTATGCAATAAATGCTAAAGTTCTATTTCATCCAAATTGCTTCTCTGAGCAAAATTTTCAAAACCCTTCAAAAACTATTACTTTCCATGTTCAAGTGTCAATTAGTGAAATAAAGATAAGTTAAAAGATAACTTCTATGACCAATATTCTAGTGTGAAATTAAAAAAAACTAAGGAAAACAAAAGAATATTTTCTTGACTCCTTTCATAATCACACAGATAGAAAAGTTAACATATGTTTGTGTTGTCCTCTCTACTGGCTCAGAAAGCTCCAATTACAAAGAAAATGATACTTGAGATATGCTGACCAAGAATTCTTTCAATTTTTTTACACAAAGTCTAAATAATATATTTACAAAGCTAGGACTGTGCTGGTTACATGACAAATCTCGTCCTTGTCTGCTTGGAAGATCAAAAAATGATATTGCCAGCTCTTTATCCATTCTTTTATCTTCTCTTTTTGGTCAGTGTTACCACTCCTATCAGCCACATATTAATATACAAATATTTATTACACAAAACATTCTGAAAGGATCCAAACAAATATGAGGAGGAAAAATAGTAATAAAAGGAAAAAATAACAATAAATTTATTTTAGTTCATTTATTGTTATTTGCTCTTATTACTATTTTGAGATCTAAACAAAATCACTTACTATTTTTAGAACTAAAATAGAATCAGAATCTCCTAATCATATTAAAGTTAATACCATTTATTTACTAATCAGGTTCATATACATGATACTCAAATTTTTTTTTCTCTTCAGATTGGCTGATATAATTTATTCAATTAATAATAATAATAATAAACTATTAAAGAATAAAATAAGTTAAAAGATGATTACTCATATCCACAAATCTAAAACTTTTCTTCTTGTATTTATATTTATCAAAATTATATATTTCTTGTTTACTAATTATCCTTACATTTTCTGCAATTCTTAGCATCAAATTAAGATTTTGCCTCAAATTATTGTGTCATAGTTTCATTATATTTTGATCACATAAATAAAGGTTTATATTGAAAAGATTATGGCTGATATATACTCTGATAGTTTATATATTAAACAAACATCTTTATGCTTCCCCTTATTTATCGACTAACTTAACAATTTAAAGCTTATAACAACTTATAATGCTTTATTATTACAGCCAGAAATAAAAAAAATTTTATTTTTATTATATCTTGATATTTAGTTGAAATACTTTTCTTTTAATGCAAATGTAATTTAATTTTAAAAAATAATCATTATATGATAAAACATTAATAATCTAGCAACACAGAATTATAAGATTTAAACTAACATATTATTGTATTATTATTATGTAATATATACCATATTGGTTTCAAGAGATTCGCCTTCCTTTAATTTAGATGGATCAATCTCACATGGCTTATGTTCAGCAAAAATCTAAAACAAAAAATAATTGCAAAAAATTATTAATTATAAAATTGAAACATCCTAATTACAGTAGAGCGTCATTTATCCGAATCAATTGGGGACTGGGATTGTTCGGAAAATCGATATCTCAGATAACCGATTATGTACGAAAAAATATATTAACCTATCGCATGTTGAAATTTTTCTCCGTTGCATGTCGCTTTGCGTTGAATTTTCGTCGATGTTAAGCCTAATGAAGACTATTGCATTGTTAAAAATTACTTTTTAAATTTTGTACAAACAAAATAAATATATTGAAAAATATAAAAACAATAAAAAATTATACTTCAGAAGTTAATTTAGTATCAAAAACGTAAAATATTTGAGTAGCCCAAGACATAGCCAAAGATTGCAGCGCCACAGCAATGGCAAAAATTTAAATTTGCCGACTGGAATTCTTTTGGATAATTGACGTTTCGGATAATTGACTTTCGGATAAATGACGCTCTGCCGTACTGAAATTAGCACTAAGCAATTACATTTGCTGAATTTTTTTAAATATATAAATACATTTTAAAAATATAAATATAAATACATTTATTTTAAGTTAAACTATTTTATTACTTACTGTATCAATTGAACTTCTTAATGTTTCATGTAAGTAATGCATTCCAGCTAATTTCATGAATTCATCCATACACTTTGACATTAAAGTATTCCCTCTAAATATTGTATTTTGATCTCTAAATTATATAAATCAAAAGTGTCATTATATAAAATGAATATATTTTAAAAATGCATAAGATAGTATATAGTGATTGCAAATTTACCGGGTATTACATTACTGGTAATATGGTAATTATATTCAGGATTATTGGTTTATCAGTAATTTACCAGTAAATTCATGTTAACAAATGATTAAAAACGAAACTGAATTACTAACTGAACTATTGGACAACCATTTACTTTCAAGTTTTCTATCAATTTAGACAAACAACATTCTTGTAATAGCAATTATTATGACATAACAGACATTGAAATAATGCTGATAATTAATTATGTTTTTCTTTATTTTGAAAGTAGGCTCTTAAAAAACATAATACATTTAGGCTCTCGTCTTCTAATCTAGATCTAATTTTCATACAAATGGCAGATGCATTTGAAAAAGCTCTCTTGTAATCAACACTAGTTGGATATATTGTCATTAGTACGAGCAAAAAATACATTCCTTGTATTTTTTGCTCTTAAAAAATAATTCATTTCTTTCTTAACTATATCTTTCATACTTTTAAACTTAACTTATATTACTGTTATCAGTGTCTATGCTTGTTTTATGTTTAATGAATAAGTCCAATTTCTCTTTCATTGTTAAATTTGACTTTTCTATTGTGCACTTTGTTCTTGTGTTGATGTGAGAAGTTGGTGTGGTAAGCAATGAACACCTCTCAGTAGAATCTGAGTCTGAACTAATTTCAGTGACATCCACAAGTCATAATTCATTTTCTGACAAGTGCTTGATTATTTCTACAATCCTATTCATAATTATATTTTTGTTAACATTATTGGATATTTCATGTGACTTATATTTGTTCAATTTTTCTGGTTATTTTCCTGTATTATACTCCAAAAACAGGTCTTGATTCTGAAGTATAATACAGAAAATCAAGTTATAAAAAAAACTAGAAAATTTCTTTTAATAATATTAAATTACAAATGGAATGACCCATCACCACCTGTACTGTTTTCTCAATATGATATGGGGAGACAAAAAAGAAATCTGCTTCCCATGGGTATTTCCTGTGGGAATTTTAGTAAAATAAATATTGAGTTAATTAAGAGGATTTTAACCGAAATACCGATAAAAAATCAATTGCCAGTAAATTTACCAGGGTATAATTTTCCTAATTTACCAGTATACTGGTAATGCAATCACCAATAGTATATAACAGTGTTTTTCAACCTGTGGGTTGCAACCCCCCAGGGGGATTGCAAAGCCTTACACGGGGGTTGCGGGTAAAAGAAAAAGACAAGTGTTTGTAGGTCCTACACTACAATAAAAAAAACTACAATCTCAGTGAGAAGGCTGTGCCTGTTTATTTTACAGTACAATTGGTTTTTTGATCAATATTTAGGTCTCAACAGAAAAAAACTTAAATATGTAGTTCTTAAAATCACTGACATAGTTTTAATATGGCCCTGGGGGTCGCCAGAATTTTTTAACTTGTAAAGGGGTCACTTATTTAAGAAGGTTGAAAAGCACTGATATATAAATACAGATTACATTGTAACAATTTTAAAAATTATTACATAAAAAAAATTTCACATTTTATGGCAAATTATATATTTAAATGGCTAAAACTAAAATCCACAAATTACTCTAAGATTTATATTACAAATATGATAACTAATCAAGTAATTTGCTAATTATTGCAATTGTAATTCTCAAAACTATGTATGATAGTTAAATAAATAGATAATGTGAAGTGCTTGTACATGTACATTATTCACAAAAAACTTAAATATGTAAAATCAAAATTTATTATTTAATTTTGAAGTTACTGTATATGGAAATGTATAGGTTATGAATTAAAGTTCTTTAAAAATATAACTTTTAAATTTATATCTTTAAAACCTTAAAGCATATTGTTTAACTATATTAACTATAAAAATTAACAAAGTACCATACATATGTCTTATTTAAAAATTGTCAAAATGATTCTCAAACTTTATATTTAAATTTGCATCTTTCATTTTTTTAAATGTATAATTTAATTAAATTTTCAAAATAAATAATAATAAAATCTTACGTGACTTTGGATATTTCCCATTCTGCAAGAGCTTTAAGGAATGAAACTATTTTTCTGTGATGTAAAAATACTTTAACAAGTGGTTGTGCAGCTTCCACTTTATTTGTGACAATTTCACCCAAAATATAAGCAGCACTAGAAGTAATTGGCTATAAAAATAATGCATTTAAAAAAAATGTACATTTATTTTCACAGATAATTTATATATTATAAATTTTAAGTTACCTCAACATTTGGAGATTTCAATAATAAATTTCTTAAAGGATCGTAAAACTGACTAGAAAATACATGGTCTGATGTATAATAAAGCTTTAATCGTAATGAACCAAGATCAACTTTATGAGGTTTTGAATCATCTCTTGGTTGCAGGAAATACCTATTATTAATATTAAATAAAACATTATGATACTTTTATTTATAATATACTAATTTTATAATATTGTTAAATTTTTACAAAATTTTGAAAAATTAATTTATGTAAAGTTAGATTATGAAAAATTAGCCTCTAATTACAACATAGCAACAGGGATATTAAGAGTATCAATCTTTAATTAATAACAACAAACCAAAGACTGCATATGTTATCCCAACTTTAATGAAATAAATATTTCATATACTTGTTTTATTTGTTTATCTTAATTTAAGTCTGTATTAATTGTTTTTATCTAGATATATTTCTATGGATCATGGAAAGCTAAAGTATGCATTATAATTTCATCTTGTATTATCATATATGTAAAGTAAAAAATTTTACTAATAAAATCATTAATATGCAAAACTAATTATACTACATCAATTAATTTAATTTAACCAAACTACAAATACTATATCAGACATGGGCAAATGCGGCTCTTTTTGAGTTACATGCAGCTCTTGCTGAAAGTGTTAATTTCTACTTTTTATTATTATTTTTACAATTTTATTTCCACAATTTTGTGAAAATATGTTTATTAAAAAAATTCAATATTTGTTTTATATCATATTTATATCTATAAATATATATATATATAAATGGACATGTATGTCCCTATATTTCACTTTTCCGCCAAAACTACACCGCACGTGAATGATGTTTGTATGTGGTAGTAGCCCCAAGTCTCCATTCGTGCATAGGGGTAGTTGTGTCTCGATAGCTATAAGGGTGCGGGAGATATGAGGCTGAAAGTGGCTTTCTATTTCGAATGTTTTGTTCGAATTAAATTCAAACATAAAATTTGAATATTGGTTCGATTATAGAACGATTATAAACGTTCCAGAAACGTTTGTTTGAATAAACGTTTCTGAAGAAATCCAGAAAATAGTTTGTTTGAATAAACGTAAAAATTCTCTAATTAGTCTGGAAACGGGGAACCTAATTCTTGCATTCTGTGAAAACGGGTAAGATTAGCTATAATGTAATTATCTTAATCTTCACTATTGTTACTTTTTTGCCCAGCGAAGCGGGTCCTTGCAGCTAGATTCTAGATTACTTAGAAAAACAGTCTTTTATATATATATATAAAAAAAACTATATTACATACAAATAAAAACCCAGCGAAGCGGGTCCTTGCAACTAGTTATATAATAAAATCGTGATACAGAACTGCGGTACAGAATAAAAAAGTATAGAACTGTGGCTCCAATGCATTTTGCAAAACCTACATTTCAGCTCCCATTGAACTCTTGCATGCCCACCCCTATACTATATGATTACTATAATAAAAATGCATAATTTAAAAAGCAAAGTACAGTAAAATGCCATTGTAACAAACTTTATATAATAAAATTATCAATATAATTAATTTATTTTCAATTATACCAATTTACTATGCATCTCAATGTAAAAATATTTTAGTTTTAGGATATTCCTCAAACTAAAACATTTTTACATTGAGATGCATAGTAAATTGGTATAATGAAATTTTCAGTTTAATGTAATAAAAATTCAACCTTTTACAAACAAAAGTGATCATTAATAAAATCTGCAAATATATAAATTAGTCATATTTCATTGTCAATGGATGCTGTTTACCTAACAACAAAATTCTAGTAATAACTGTCAATTCAGTTTCTAGCATCATTACTGTGTAATTATTCAAAATAGTATACTTGACTTCATCAAATACATAAAGATAAAGTTGAGATTACCATTTCAGATACAGTCAATATGACAAAAAGCCTGTTTCATTTTCTGATAAAATGAAGAGTTACGAAAAACAGTATATTAGAATGCTGTGACAAAGTTCACAAATTATAAAAAAGGTTTTGATTACACAATGTACCAGTACAATCAAAAATTAAAAACTTCATTCAGCAATAAACAGCTATTCTGAACAGAAGTGTTTGATTATTAGTGCTATCACTATTTTGTGCATCAGCTACTTGTCAAAACAGTGCTGATAAACTTTTTCATTACATACAAAGCTAGCCAGATATCCATAGCTACATAACAATCTAAATCTTCCCATTAATTTCTCAAAGAACTTCATTAATTTGTGTGTATTTTGAAAAAGCTAAAAAATTTTTTGTTATTATTATAATAATACATTATACAATTTTTACAATACACATTACAATTTTTAATAAAGAAAAAAAATTGCAAAACAATTTAAAAACTTTCAGCAGAAAATTTAGTGCTAAAATTTTTAAATTCTGATTTACAGTTTTTCTTTAATTAATGGATGCAAATAAAACTTGAGTATCAATGACCTATATCATCTCCTTAACATATGTAGTTCATAAAAAACATTTTGATATTCTTGTTCTAGTGGCAATGATTTATCATCATTCTATCATTTTGTCTTCTTATAGTATTAATTCATTCAATATCATAAATTTTATAATTATTTTTGTCAGACAAATCCATCTAAAAAAACCTGCAATGTTTTTGTTCAGAAACTTGTTATTTGTTCCATGTCATCACAAAAATGTTTAACTCTTAAGTAGCTTCTTATGGGATATTTCCAAACTTTTTATAATAATCTACAATTTTCTATTTTGAATGCTAAAAAATATTGTAAATTCAACTTTACTGAAATTTGTTTTAATGAGCAAATCATAAGTTTCAGTATACCTTAAAATTCAATGAAATCTATCAAGAAAAACTATGCATATGGAATAACTTTCAATTATATTTAAATAAACTTACCATGCATTACGATCAGAAACACAATTTAAGTCTAACAATTGTATTTTTACTTCACCAAGAAATACACTCCCGAAAACTCCATTTGAATCATGCATTAATGCAATCCTAAAATTAAAACAGTATTACTTTTAAAACATTATTTCACAAATGATTGAATTTTAAAACTGTTATTAAATTAATTTAGATTAAAAATTACATTGTTAGATAAATTTTAATTGTTAATTAATTCATTAAACTTTTAATCAGATAAAAAATAAATTTCCAATGAAATTAATTAATTAGTTTTATTGAAGAATGCAATAAGACTAATATAGTGGGACATTCATCAATATTAATTAAAATAATACATTGAAGTAAAGTTTAAAAAGTTAATTTTTAAAAAATCTTGTATTGTCAAACATTTAATTAGCATTAAACTAAATTTTTGTATAAATTAGAAAAAAGTACTTTTATATCATAATGTATAAAAAGTTTGTTTTTGATACTCTGTCAACAGACACTAAAAAACAAGCCTTTATTTTATAAATGTTATGACTTCAGGTAGGCTGCAATGATTTAATAGTAAAAGTCATGAAGTATATAGGCTGGATATCACCCACAAAAAAAAAAAGTAAGAATGATGAATATGTAAATGAGTTTATAGAAATATGTACTACATTGACCAATTAACATAAAATTGTATTTTTTACACCTTGTAATGAACTCAATCTAAAAATTTAGTTGTAAAAATTTGAATATATTCCTTAATAGAATGTATAAAAATCAGTTCATAAAAAAAATTAAAAAATAATGGTACACAGTCATGTATCAAAACTGGAAAACAGAATATCATCATCATTATATAAATAAAGCAACAAATATTTTTTTCAGTTATAAAATCTATTGTATATTTGATTGAAAATACTTAATTTTTTGTAAAACTTTTACAAACATTGAGTCAATACAGCATCGAATGCCACTCATACATCCTAAAGGATAAAAAAGATCCTTATTGCCTTTATCAAAAAACTATTCCAATTAAATTGAAGTAGTTTAAACTTTATAACACAAATTATAAAATATAAAAAAAAAACATTGTTTAATAATTTGTTATTGTTACTAAAAATGTTTTTGAAAATATTTTGGTATTAATTAATTCTTATATAAATTAATGAAAATATCTAATTCTTAATATATGCTAAATTAATATCAAAAATATGAAAAAGCTAGCAAGGATTTGTGCATGACTTTCCCAGCACTCATAATTTACAGTTAAAGTCATGTATGGCACCATTTGATGGCATGGGATATGACACAAGACCCCCTCCATCTCCCCACCCCTTTTAACCATTATCTACCAAAATTTAATAGTATCAATCCCATATACACCTGCAAAAGTTTCAAAATCTTGATTCATTCAATCCTGTGATATTATACAAAATTGATGTCAATACACACACAAATACATAACCACAAAAAATTTTGTTAAGAATTTTTTTCACATGTTTGAGCTCCTAGTACCAAAATGTCGATAAAGGCAAAACACACTAGGAAGTCAAAATTTGATTGATCGCCATACTTTCTCTCTAAGTTATATTCTATAACAGCCAGGAAAGTAAGAAAGAAAAGTATTTTAACATTACCTTATTTCAGCATTGTTTGCATCATCATCATGGAATCTATTCCTGTCATGATTCTGTCCTTTAATTGGTAACTGAAAAATTTATTAACTTTTGTATTAATACAAATAATAATTATTTAAATATGTTAATATTCTCTTTAGATATTATTTATAATTTGAAATTTCTAAAATAAAATTTACTTTATGAATCTAATCATAAAATATTTTAATTCATAATTCTGTAAATTTTTTATTCAACTTCTGTATTATTTTCAAAATATAATACTCTCATAAAAATTTATCTCAAATTTAATTTGTAATAACATTTAAAAACTTTATTTGTACAGTAGAGCCTCGAAAACTCAGCCTAATGTGGACCGAAGGATGGCCGAGTTTGTGAAAATGCCAGGTTATCGGGAATGGGGTTAAAAAAGGATAAGTATGCATATTTCCTCAGAAAATATTGTACTGTACTTGTATGTATTGTTTGCTTGAGAATACAACAGAGAATAAACTGCCCAAATACCCTTAAACAAAGGAAAAGTACATCCTTTATGAAGGCATAGAGCCTTTACTACGTGAAAATGAAAATTAATGAATACACTGTGTACAGTAATTTACCTGATAAGACAGACCCCAGAAAAATACTTTATGAGGAATAAAGCTGTCTATGATGAAAATTAATTATCTAAGGGTATTTTTGCCCTGCCAGGGTGTGGCTGAGTTATCCGGAGTGCTGGGTTATCGAGTGCCAAGTTTTCGAGGCTCTACTGTATTATATTAGATATATGCTAAAATATTAAACTAAATTAACAATATTGATATATAAATGCTTTTTATTGACATTTTAGTGAATTATATAATATATTATTAATAATTATTTGCTTTTATTTTTCTTTGAATTTTCAAAATCTTTTGTAACTTCATTTTCATTTTGTGCTAATTATAAAATTATTGATACTAATTTCATTGAAATGGTTTTAAAACTGAAAATTTCATAAAAATAATTATAAGAAGAAAATTATATAAAAAAAAGTTCCAAATATTAAGGTAATTGAAAAATACTGTTTTATTCCCTAATATTATTTGTTAAAACTTAACATGAAACATCTTGTTATAGAAATCAAATTACTAATCATACAATATATGAAATAATATGCTATTTTGAAGCTGCAATAAATTATTGATGATAAAATCTCATTAATATGTCATTTTTCAGGATAAATTTGTATCATACATTATTCCTGAAAATAAGGTACTGATGAGATAAATATTATGACATAATATAAATTAGCTGTTCTAATATCAAATTGTAAACAATTCTGTTTCCTAATTTGTGATTTGCTTAATGATTATAGAATATTTGATCTACATACGGCTACATTATTTATTTATAGTTCAAGTTCTAAATTATTAAATTATTTTAATATGCCAAGTGCAACAGTAAATTTTAATGATTTTTACAAATTTAAGTCATAAAAAGTTTACAAGAGCCTAATTACTCTTTTGTCATAGATACACATCATCATCTATAATTTGAATGAATTGTATACTATAACAGATTACATTATAGTTTATATATTGATGTAAAATTAATATACATCTGGAAAGACTCAACATGCTTTCATGTTACATTAGTGTTCAGGTTAAAATCTGTTCCAAGCTTTTTTCAAATATTTCTAAATTTAATTACATTATTCTAATATAACCTAATCATTAAAGATATCATCAAATGATAAGTCTAATTTATAATGTCAAATTATCTGGATAATTAAATTCAACTTTAGCATTCAATTTAAAATTTTAAAAAGCTGTATTTTAAACCATTACTATTTAACAGAAAAGAAAAACTTATGCAAATTATAAAATGGTTTGTGTTTAACTTATCAAATAATGATCAAAAATAGTTCTCATGTAAATGATCAATAAAATTGGATTTATAAAGTTTACACACACACTAAAAATACATTAAATTAATATTAAAATTATTTATTTGATTATTTGACATATCAAACATTTAACTATTGAAATACATACATACCAAAGTATAATACTAACCTCAAATACAAATATCTCTTCAAACTGAGGACATATAGTTTTTTTTCTTACTTTTGTCTTCTTTGTTTCTTGATGATTTCCATAACAAAGAGTAACTACAGCATAAGGATCACAAGCTCCATTGATAATTGTAAGATCATTACATTCAATCACTCTACAAATGAAAAACATCATTAAGATGTATTTTATTAAATTATATATTAGGGGCAGTCAAATGAAAACGAGACAGATGGGACTCGCCGACCTCACTTTGAGCACATCTAACAGACAAATGGCACAGAGGTGAACGTTTACACTGTTCCTTCCTGATTCCCAATAGGCACTTCTATATACACATCTACCTGCATTACCAACTTCCGTGCCACACTTGTTATTAGTGATGTGCCGGATATCCGAGGGGAAAAAAAGATCCGTATCTATTATTTTTTAGAAGATCTTTAATAGATCTTTTATCTTAATGAATTTCATTACTTATATGAGATTTAGGGTAGATAGGTAGGAATACAGATAGGTAGCAATAAAATACTAATAACTTCAATTCAAATCACTTTTTATTTCTTAAAATCACATATTTGGCACATTCATGTTGCAAAAATTTTATCATGCAAAAAACATTTACTATCGTAAAATATTTCCATATTACACTACTAAACTTTTTTGTCGACATTGTTTTTATTTTAATTTAACTCAACACTCTCCAAAAACACAAACGTAATTTATGTTATCCCGTGTCACACTAAACTATAAACAAAAACATATGCAGTGCAAGTCAAAACACGTCGCGTTACTAACGCAAAGCGTCAACTATCGGTCCAAGGTCACATGCACTGGCGCCAACTGAGTACGAAAGTTGAGATCCGTATCAGTGGATCTAGACACTAATGATCCGTATCTGTACCCGTATCCATGGATATACATTTTTAACGATTCAGCACATAACTACTTGTTATATAGTTTGTCTCATTTTCATTTGACTGCCCTTAATATATTAAGTTACTATAATTTATTATCTAATATTTAATATTTAGCAATTATATCTTACGTTCATCTTAAACAGATATAAAAATATGTTTGATCACAAAATAATAGGTTTTCAAAGTTCTAGTGGTATGAATAAAATTGTCTGACAAAATCTAAATTTTGAAAATACTATATTCACAAAAAAAAATTAAATTAAACAAAATGAAATTACGAATATTTTCAGTAGCTAAAAATACTAAATGTTGTGTATGTGTGTATATATATATAAGGTTTAATGCAGGACATGTTATGTATACATAAAAGCTGTGCTATATTCTCTCACATCTTCCAAAGAAAAATAAAAAAAGTTTTAATGCAAATGAATGTAAAAAACTTTAGAAAAGAATAATAAACTATATGTTAATTTCTAAGAAGAAAAACAACTTCTGTTACTTACAGAATTACTTCATTCAAACTTTAAACAAATGAAAAATAATGATGTATTGAAAGAATTTACTATGGGGAAATTGCATTAAATTGCTATCAAAGACTCAAGGAATGAGGATTTGCACAACTAATCATTCACACAAATTTTTGCACATGCAAAAAATATGAAAGAAGTTGATTCTAAAGAATTTCCCAAAATGATGAAATTGTTACATTTAAATAGCAAATAAAAATTAACAATATAATTTATCTGCTTACCAAGAGAAAATTTATAAACCATAAAATTTAAAGATATTACAGATATATAATTTTAAATTCAAATGTAGACTATTATTGTCTATATTGACAATAAATTTATAGCATTTTCATTAAAAATATAATTTTTTTTAATATTCTAAACATGGGTTATACCTATTTATAATTTTTATAGTTAAGTTCATAAAGTTATTATTTTAATAATAATAACAACTTTATAAATTATATAAAGTTATTATAATGATTTCATAACAACATATACAAACAACCCAATAATTAATATATACAATATCAGGATAAAAGATTAAGTTGGCTATGAGCTGTGGATGCTAAAGCTGTCCCTAGTTGGCATAATGAGTGACCAGTATGATTATATTTAAATTAATTAATTAATTGGTCTGGAAGTGAAGACAGGATAAAGGTCTGTATAGCGTAGCTGGCAATGCATCTACATGGTAAGCAGGAGTTTGTGTTCCACTCTGGAAAATCTTTATTTCTAGAATATTCTAAATTAAATTAATGTGCGATCACCACAGCTTAAATGCCTACCTCTTGCCAAATTTCTTAATTCCTTAATACTTAATTAGCCTTAAAGAATCCTGTAGTTCATTTGTAGATTTCATAATATAAAACTGTTTCATAACTGTATAAAACCAATCTGATGGTAACTACCTTCTTCCAATTTTTTATTCATAAAAAGAATTAAGATTCAACATAAATCTTAATCAAAACAATAGTTTAAAGATTGATAGTATCTTAAAATAATTTTTTCAGAATCTGAAAAATAAAACCACTCACTCTAAAATTAAATAAAATCTTCAAACTAAATGTAAAAAGAAAATAAATTCAATTTTTATTTCTGAGAATAATTTAAATTAATATCTAAAGCATATATTATAATGTATTATAACAACATTTCATTCCAGAAATACTCTTGACACTGAATTACTATTAAATTATTGATAATTTAAAATTCTGCAATAATTTTTAAACCATCAATTACAAAAACACATTTGGTTTAAACTTATTTTTTTCTATATAATCAGTCAAACTTCAATATAGCACCACTATCAAAGACTGCCAATAAATATTTATGAATAATCTTCCTCATATATATTTATGAATAATCTTCCTCATAAAGATTTTCTAAGGAATATATAAATATTCCTTAGAAAATCTTTTATCATCTCTATTACTGAATGTAGGATTTTGCATTGCATCTCTCAAACATCAAACTTGTATGCAAACCTCATTATTTTATATAATTCTTATTGTTCAAGTCTTTCAGTTAAGTGTCATATTCAATTTAGTGTTAGTTTCAAAAGTGAAGAAATGATGTTGTATATATAATGTCAAACCTTGATATACGAGGATGGATTGAAAGTTTCCAGAATGACAATGAAAATAAAATAAACAAAATGATTTTCAAGTTTATTTGGAAATCATTAAATTTCCATGCTTTATTTTTCAACATAATCTCCTCGAATCTTAATACTCTTGATCCAACATTTCTCCAGCTTTTCAATTCCCTCCTGAAAGTGATTTTCTCCAAGGCCCCCAAATAACTGTTTACAGCTTCAATCACCTCTTCATTGGATCAAAATCTCTTTCCAGATAGGAGTGTTTTGAGTTTCAGGAACAGGTACAAGACTGAAAGAGTCAAATCTGGCAAATATGAAAAATGCAAAAAAATTTTGAACTTAATTTCCACCAAATTTGCTAAACAACTACACTTAAATGAGCAAGCACGTTGTCATGGTAAAACAGCAATTTTTTTTCATATCTGGGCACTTTTCCTGGATTGTTGCTTTGAGCTTATCCAAAAGTGTTACATAGTATTGGCCAATGACAATTTTTCTTTTTTCAAGATAGTCAATTAACAAAATTCCTTTGGTGTTCCAAAAACTGATGCCATAACCTTGCCAGTCCTTGCCTTCTTTGGAATGTGCTCACTGTCTCCAAACCACTGTTTTGATTGAATTTTTGTTTATGGTGTGTAATTGTGAATCCAAGTCTCATCCATTGTTACAAATTGTTACTTGAAATCTGTTGATTTCTCTTAAACAACTCCAAACTCTCGGCAGAAATTTGAGCAAATGCAATTTTGCTCCAGACTGAGCAAATGTGGTGCTGTTCTTGCATACTTCTTTAAATCCAATTCATTAACTTGTAACCCAAATGCTCAAAGCTTTCTCAATTTCATGTACTTTGATTGAGCAATCTTCTAACACCATGTTATGTTATAAATTTTATCCATAATTTCTGGAGTGGTAGCAGTTTTTGGACATCCTGAACATCGTTCATCACTTGTGTGTATGTGCAGCCACGCTTGAATTCAGAAATCCAAAAACTTACTGTGGAAAACATAATGTGAAAAATGAATTGCCACGAAAATTGTCCAAATTGGATTTCTTTACCATTGCAGTTTTTCTATCCAAATGGAAAGCTTTGATAACAACTCGAATTTCAGTTTTTTCCATGTACCAACAGGTACACAGGGTATCTCACTTCAATGCTTGTAAAAACCTAACTGTTGGCCAGATCAATGCGAAATTTGAAGTCAATACATACACAAGATTTGCAGATGCAGCACAAGAAAAATGTTTCCAAACAAAACACTCCCTAGTGGCAATTCTAGAAAATTTTCAATCTCCCCTCATACAATACATCAGTTATTCTTCAAGAATATTATAATAGTTATATAACTAGTCACAAATTAAAAATATGACAACTTCAAAAATTATATTAATGCATGAGAAATACAAATATGTAGCTATGAACTATTCTGTATCAAAAAATAAACTTCAAAATAAATTATATTTATTTTAAACTTTAAAAATATATAATTATGAATGTTTGTTTTTTAATATTTTTATCTATTTTAAATAATTTAGTACAAACCTAACAGTAAGACGTTGCATGTAAGTTCCACTTCCAGAAGATTTTGGAAAAAAATCTGATTTTATTTCTATATGAGCTTTACCCTAAAAAATAAAGTAAAAAAAAAATTGCAATATATAAAAATATATTTTTCATTTATAAATTACTTAAAAATACAAATAACAACTTAATTATAACAAAGTATATACTAATAATAAAAAATGCCTTAAGAATCTGAAATTCTTTAATGTTTTCTAACAGAACAATTGTATTTTTTCTTCTTAATAATATAAACTTTAATATTTTCTTGAAAAGAAAAAATGATAAAAGTATGAAGAACAAGTGATACAATTTTAATATATATATAAATAAATCAATATTTATATCAATTGATTTATATATTTCAAATACAATTTTATTAATTGTTTTAATCAAATTCTTAAGAATTCATTGATTATTCTATAAATTTAAGATAATATTCAACACTATTATAAATTATTTGATTTTTTATAGTTATTATTATTATTATTATTATCATCATTATCCACATAGCATGATGCTATTAATGATGAAAAAAACTTCATAAACTGTTTATTCTTAAAAAGCTAGTGTTGCCTTAAAAATAATCATGCAATCTGTTGTGTAAATCTACATCATTGTAATTTGTTTTTCTAAAAAAATTCATTAACAGTAATCTAGTTGCTACTGTATCTTTTTTTTTTTCTATCTTGTAAACTAATAATGATATTTCTATATATAAATAACATCAAAAATTAAAATTATTTTAAATCATCATAAATGATAAACTTTAAAAACTTAAAAAAAAAAATTGCATTTTCTTGATTCCAAAATTCATATCTTTTAAAACCCATTTTTACTTGTCCAAAATAACAATCATTAAGTGATTGTGGTATACTATGCACCAATAATAAAAATTTTTGGTTTTACTATTTAATACCCAAATCAATTCAGATGAGCTTCACTGATAACAAGTGCTTAATCTAAATTCCTTTTCAACATTTAAAACAACTTCAAGACAACATTATGATGCAGCATTAAAATAAAAAGCTGTTGTATATACAAAAGAACATGGAAATAACAAATATTACATATTTCACAGGGCAAATTTGCAACAAATTAGAAAATCTAATTTGTTGTTAATTAATAAAATTAAAATTCACTATTGAAAAATCTCTCAGTACATAATCTTGAAATTTAATTCCAAGACTATAGCCTATCTTTGAATTGATAGCATCTTAGAATAAAAGAAATAAGATATTTATATTCTTTATCTTCAAATTGAAAAAAAAAAAAGAAAAAACCACTTATTTCAATTAAAAGCAAACACATTTTTAATTTTTTATGTATTATAGAAAGCAATTATCTATACATACATACATACTTCTTCAGAGAAACAATTCCTGTTGCTAAGAATTTCTGCTATTGTTTTACTTTGACTTTGTTTGTATATATTTTTTTTCAGAAAATGCTGCATATTTCATTCAAATTTTTACTTTTCTTTCTACAGTTTTTACTGTAATTGATCAATTTAATTTGTTTTTTTTATACATTATAAAATAGATTTGAGAATTATTTGTTAAATTTCAAATCTATGCAAATTTCTTCTCTATTATATCATTAAAATTTTCATCTACATTAAACCTACCTGAACTTCAGAATTTGCATCAACAGGTAAGATTGGAAACCAATGATCTTTTCCATGATATTTATGTAATTCTTCTCTTTTAATAGCTACTTTTCCCAAAACTTTATCTTTGTTTACTGCCCTTTCACGATCATAGACATACAGTGAAAGATTCCGAAATTTGCGTGGCACTTCAAACTGAAATTCCTCTCCAAAAAATGGGCTAAAATGAATAGTTATTAATATAATTTAGTACCTATGTTTAAATAAATTTTTCAAATAAAATAATGATTTATATCAATCAATTTAAAACAATATATGTTTAATGAAGGGTTGTTATAGATTTGAGCCTTTCAACCAGATAGAGAGAGTCACATTCCCTAAATAGTTAGGCATGTGAGGAAACAACTGGAGACTCAATCTTATGTCCATTCCTCACCTCTATGGGACAACCTAACAGTATATAGTCAATTAACCTAGCTATTGAAGCAAATAAGGATGGCCTGCTGTTATGAGGTTAACAGACCATAGCAACTCTCTTTATTGGTTAAAACTTTTAAGCATAGTAAATCAAATCAAGCTGGGACATTGCCCAGGCCAACTATCCCTGCTGTGTTGATCAGGGAACCAGGACACACAGTGTTAAATGTGCTACCGAAACACAAATCAGGGTTGATACCATCAATGTTAGAAGACTGAATAGAAAGGAAGTATAGCTAGCCAAAGAGATAGAAAAATATAATGTACAAATGGCAGATATCACTAAAACTAACTAAAACTAACAAAATTAAAGTTGGAGAGATAAGCCTAAACAATAAATACAGTGAAAACTGTTTAGGCGACCACCTGCATTAGATGGGCACTTGTGAAAATGGGCAAAAATTTCTGGCACCGAATAGTTTATCCATAAAGTCTTCATATAAGTTACCTGTATTAAACGACCACCTGTGTAACGCGACCACAGGCATCGATTTTTGGTTTGAAACAACATACAACAACTGTAATAAGCGACCACTTTCGTGAATATATCTGGTCTAAACTATTCTTCAACAATGTTTCCCCCTCCTAATATAATGAATTAATCTAAACTCTCATTCAAACTCATCTCAGGCACATTTCCCACCGTCGAAATTAGGTGTAGATGTTAATGAATCAGTCTAGCAACAAAGGAAATTAATTTCAGTTTGTTCGAAATTGTCCAAAAAACAAAAGAAATGCAAAGTGCTGTCGTTAAAAGATCGTGTTAAAGTTATCACAACAGCAATTAGCAGTGAAGTTTAACTGTGGGAAAACGAAATTTATTTTACTGTAGACCTTCAGTATTTTCCTTGGAGGTATAAAATATTGTACATGATACAATTAATCGACTGATCTCATCGTTTGATAAAATTTATTTTTATTTATTTATTTTGAAGCTCATATACAGTACATATGCGATAAATAGTTTCTGTATCAACCTACCTTATTTCCACGGTATTTTTAGAAAAATAATATCCAAGTAATTTTTGCACGCAAAATATTCAAAAAACAATAAATGCATTAATACAAAAATCAGTTTTACAGGCAACGTTCCTTTTTCAAATCCGCAATGACAATCGCAGAATGTAATGAAATCGTATGAGAAAAAATAATAAAATCGTTTTATTAATTAATAATTTTTCTTATTGTACAGTACTTAAGAAAACATTTAAAAACTACAGTATTTTTAAAGTTAAAATAAGATTAAACTAACGAATACCAAAACAAAAGTGATGTAGAGATACCATGTGCTTGTATATCGACATAATACATGTAACTGTGGAGCGAATGAAAACAACTGAGTTGAATTAATTAAGTTGGAAAAAAGAAAGTGTGCATTATAATCGAGAAATTGCAACTATTGTATTAATCTTTAAAATATTGGTATTAAATCTGTCTTATATCATGACGACTCCCGGAAATCGAGTTATCCAATAAGAATAAAATACAATATCAATACAGCCCTATCGTTGAAAATATTTGCTTATTTTTGCTCACCTCGAGTTTTGCTTAGTAGAAATGGCTAAAGTGCGCAACATACGTATGGAAATACATTATTACAGCACCACCTGTACTGGACGACCACCTGTCTAAAAGACCATTTTTTGGAGGAACCGTGGGTGGTCGCCATAGACAGGTTTTACTGTATAAGCTAATTTACTCAGGGAATGATACTCAATGGGAGAACAGTAGCCATAGCATTTACATCTCCTATGAGAGATAATCTTAATCCAGGGATTTAAGTCCTCCTCACTGACACAAAAAAATTAAAATTTATTTTTTCAAACTTCAAAACACTGGTTTTTAAAAATACATTTATGATGGATAATATGGTTTATTGGACCATCCAATAAACCATATTAATACATTCATTTTGCACATGTTAGGTAAAGATCCTTATAATTGTTCAAACATTTTTGAGTTAACCCCCTTCTTCTGGATCAACAAATGCTTAAATTAAAATAAACAAAATTTTGTACAAGTGTATTAAAATAAGTCAAATTAAAACACAGTAAAATGTCTGAAATGAATGCAATGATACATTCCAGAATTTTTTATTTTGGTGAATTTCCATTTTATACAGAATTGTGTTTTTATTAACATTCAAAAAAGTTTTAAAAAAAATGTTATAATTCAAATTTAGAACTGCTTTTTCTACAACCTAAGTGTTCTCTAACTCAGTAATTTCCAACCAGTGAGGTGTGAGCCAATGCACACAATACTGTTCAGTGTATGACTGACGAGTAAATGTATGCGAATAAAAACAGATGTGATAGCCCTCCACAAGCATATGATGTTTTTCCATCACCCTCTTATTTGTTTTCTTCATTGCATAAATAATGCTTGTTAGGACTGTCACCATATATTTTATGTAATCTACTAACTAAACTAAACCAATCGTCTTAATATTTAGAATAAACAGCTATTTGAAGAGCACTAGGAGAAGTGCAGAATCTGCAGACCAAAGTGAACCTAATAATAGTAATGGATAAAAAAAGAAAATGTGTAAGCAATATGAAAGTTATATAAAGTTTAAATTTTCTTTTTTCTTAGCAAATCCAGCATTCAACAGCCCTAGTGTATCATTTGTTTTCAAATTCTTGCCAATGACAGCCTTAAAAGCTTGCAAAGTTTAAAAGATATCTGGAAACAGTGCATGAAAATTATGTACACAAGGAACACTTTTTTTTTCCAAAAAGAGATGGAATTGAAATAACAGAAGACTGTAATGTCAAAAGAAGTCACAGTATTGAAGGAAGCATTGAAAGCTGTTTATATGGTTGCTATAAAAATCGCTAAATGTAAGAAATCGCACACTATTTCCAAGAACTTGTTGCTTCTGTTAACTTTAGAAATGAGTCACATTATGAATGGAGAGGCAGCTGCAAAGGCATTATAAACGATTTCACTGTCAAATAATAGTTTCATGTTGAATCGATGACTTGACTATGGATTTGAAAATAGTTAATTCAACAAGTAAAATAAAATCAAATATTTACATTGCAAATTGATGAATCAATCAATATTTTATCACAGGCTCAGCTTATTTGTTACATGAGATAAGCTTTGGAAGGAAATATAAGAGAAGAGGAGTTATTTCAGATGAAGACACATTTGCTTACTTAACGAATTTGTCTGTGCTGAAGGCTTGACTTGGATTGATTTTATAGGTTTATGCACCAATGGTGCTGCAGCTATGGTGGGGAAGAATAGCAGCCTTGTAACTCAAGTGAAAGCTGTAGCTCTAGCATTAAAATGACATGCACATGGGACTAACAGAGTTAGAACCAAACATCAATCGTTTTGTGCAATTCAAATCAAGATCAAATTTCACATTGATGTTTACAATTTGTAAAAATATGGAAAACATTTTTTAAAATTTATATATTATAACTTTATTCAGAAGTAATAAATTCTTGGTTGTACAGTCGACCCCCCTATAACGTACGTTCCTATAACGACAATTCCTATAACGTAGCGAAAAAATTGTAGCAACTTTCGTATAACGTACCTCCTATAACGTCGTTTCGCGACAAGATTGATAGAGTCTGGACCAATAGTGGATGAGCAGCCGAACTACTTTCCTCCGACCCTGCGCCACGCTACGGAGCGGCTAAATTGAGTTTGCTATCGTCTGTTTAGTATTATATATAAATTATATATAAATTAGGTACTGTACATATAATTATATATTAATTATATATAAATTAGGTACTGTATATATAATTATATATTAACTTAATTTATTGTAACTTTATTATAATTATATATATGCTTTCTGCCGCCTGGCAACACGCTACGGAGATTTTAGGCTAGTAAGTTGAGTTTATTATCGTCTGTACAGTATGTAAATTAGGTACCGTAAGTCTAATACAGCACTAATTTTATACATTTCTTGTGAAAGAAACACTTCTTATTCAACGGCCATAAAAATTATTTATATTAATGATGTCTCCAAAGGTCAAGTTATTTTTATGCGAAAAATTCGTTATTAGAAATCGCGGCCGCCGTTTAATGTGCTGTTCCGCGATGAAAACCAGCTTTAAGCAACGGCGTAGTCGAACGGTACACACTCGGTAAGTAATCCTATAATTTTTTGTTTATAGCATAGTTTATACGGATTATTCCCAAAAAATTATACGTGTTTTGGAAATGTTGAGTGGAATTAGTCTAGAATCGGTTAATTTTATAGAAGAAAACCTTTCGAACAGCCTTAGTCCGTAAAGTTCCCACCTATCGGGCTGCGATTGGCTCATTCCTACAACGTAATTTTCGGTTAGCGTGGAACGTATCTAAGCGTTATAGGGGGGTCTACTGTATACTATGTATACAACCCATTTTATTTGTGCAAAGTGCTGTAGGTAGGTATATTTGTATGTTTGGTAGTGCAATTATATTTTTGCTTTATATCATATTTTCAATCAAACTTTACCAATATTATTTAATTTGTAATAAAAAACAAATAAATACTGAATACAGAGCAATAAACACTTATGCGTATGCTGGGGAGCAGCATTGCATGTGAACCCTGATTGGAAAGGCATACTGTAGAAAAGGTTGGGAACCGTTGCACTAACTTATAACTATCTACTCCTCCAGTAATATTATATTGCTTTCCAAACAATGAAGGCATCATCATATAATAATCTTAACAAAAGAAAATAAAAGATAAATTTCTTGGAAAAGTCAGTCTATCATGATCTAAGCCCATAAGTTACAGCATTAATTTCTTCCATTCTTGCATTAGAAAGGTTTTTTGGCCTGTAACAGTATTTTATAGAACAAATTGTTATATTCCAACCAAGATTTATTTTCTGTTCAGGTAAGTTGTCATTTTGCAGAAAGACCATTTTAGACAGGTTTTACTGCATTTACAGATTTTTTTCCTTGTGATTAATTTTTATTTTAATTCTTATCATCAAATTAATATTTAAATAAATTTTAAGCAAAAGTACTAAACCATACCTAAGTGTTTTTTCTATTGTGCTTGTACGAAATATTTCTTCTTGATCAAGACTAATGGTGCAAAAAGTATCTCTTAAACCAATTGAGCCATGACTCCTAGGAGGCAGATTTTTTGCTTCACCTGCAATAAATCAAATGTTATAATGATTGTTAATTGGTTAATCATAAATTATCCCTTTTATATTGCATTATTTCAAGTTAATAAAATTTCTTTAAAAAAAGTAAATTTTATTCATTAATCTTATTTTTGAAATAAGTTTTATAAATTACTACATTATGAAAAATGTTATGTAAAATATTGTTGAACACATTTTTAGAGTTGAAAGTTTTTGCAATGCAATGAAAAAACATCAAAAAGTATATTAAAAATCTTTTTGTATTTCTTTCTTCTGTTTTTTAATTTGGCAAGCTCTTATATTTTCTTTCTTCAATATCCGATTTAGTTTTTTTTTTTTTTTTTTTTTTTTTGTCAATTTCTTCTACTAAATACACAATTCTCTTTTTCTTTTTTATAATACAGGGCATTCCTGAAGTAACCATTTATTTTGTTGAAATAGATTGAATTTTAAGAAAATGTCTTAGTAATTGATCTTATGTATATATCTTTACAAAAATGTAAATATTAAATATATATTTAAATTGTTTTTAAATTTATAATCAATTTTATTTTTAAACCCTATATTTATGATGAATGTTCAATGTGTTATGGTCTCAAAATAATAAAATGTAATGACAATTATAAGGTTTATAAAATCTGAAATTACAAGGGAAACAGTTCATAATATAATCTCCAAAATGCTTATAAATACTGTATATTCTACAATGAAATAATCAACCATTAATTAAATTGAGCAGTATATTTTCATTCTGATCTAACACTGGCATTTTGTAAAGAAGTATACATATAAATATGTCATTAAGACAACTCTTTCAAATTCAACATTGTACAGTAGAGCGTCGATTTTCCGAAAGTCAATCATCCGAAAGAATTCCAGTCGGCAAATTTAAATTTTCGCCAGTGCTGTGGCGCTTCAATCTTTGGCTATGACTTGGGCTACTCAAATATTTTATGTTTTTGATACTAAATTAACATCTGAAGTATAATTTTTTATTGTTTTTATATTTTTCAATATATTTATTTTGTTTGTACAAAATAAAAAAATAATTTTTAACGATACAATAGTCTTTGTTAGGCTTAACATCGACGAAAATTCAACGCGAAGCGACACGCAACGGAGAAACATTTCGACATCGGATACGTTAAACTATTTTTTCATACGTAAATCAGTTATCCGAATTATCAGTTATCTGGACAACCCCAGTCCCCAATTGATTCGGAAAATCGACGCTCTACTGTATTTACAAATTATACAGGGTGACCCAGACCACTCATAAACCACCTTTTAAAATGAATAGAAGCTAGTTTCATGAAAATCCTATATATATATATAGTATACAAGAATGTAAGTGATGTAAGTGTACAAGCATTTACTTTAAAAAATAAGTTTCTAAAATATATAATTGGTAATAAAAAAGCATCATAGATTATTTACTGATTACAAATTCCTATTTTAAATAATACTAAAAATAAATAATATATAGATAAAATACTGAATTAAATAAAATGGTGAACAAATAATAGACATTATCAAAATATTTTAGTTAAGAGTTATAGAAAAATAAATTTGGAATAAAATAATTCAGAATAAATATTATCTCTCTTAAATGATACTGAATTTGATAAATTATTTAATTAGATTTTTTTAAAGAGAATTTTTTAATTCTTTATTTTTAATATCATTTTATTTGTTATCCAATATGATTAAAATTTCAATATTTTTGAAGCATTCTACTTGGTCTTGCATAGATAAGATTTTTTAGAAATATTAGATCTTTTTGAACCATTAAAAACAATAAATACACTGTACAGTACATCAAAATTTTGTTATTGATAATTGCTATTTTTAATAAAATTTGATACAAAATGAAATTAATAATTGTAATAATAAAAATTGAAATTATTTATAAAAATTTAAAACTATCTGAAGACTTAAAATTAAAAATTTTTTTACAGCAAGAGATTATTATTTGTTGGGCTGCAATTTGAAAAACTTGTAGACTTATAAATTCCTATTATTGTCTATCTATCTGTCTGTTCTTCCTTAATCTTGAGAACAGTGTTAGATATATGAAAGTTGAGACCAGATATGTAAATAGCTTAAGGGAAGGAAGCCTCGATTAATTATATACTTTGCACTGAAAGTCATGTTACTTCAATTCAAAAGTTTCTCCTGAAAGGAGTTAGGTAGATAATCAGCACAACTCTATTGCTAACAGAAAAAATATGACATACAGAGGCAAGCCACTACTAATCTGAGGTGGAGAGCACATATTTTAAATTAAATAAATTAAAAATATGATTAAAAATTGCAACCCAGCATTGTGACAATGTCACAATAAATAATTGCTCATTATATTTTAACAATTTTCAACCAGTTTTATTATAATTCATAACTAATAAAACAGCAAATAATGAAAATGATTTAGAAATTATTTTATCATTAATTTATCTTATAAAACAGAATTTTCACAAAATATATTATATATATTTCAATGAAAATACAGATATATTTGTAAACAGAGGAAATTAAATAAAAATATATTGCAACATTACTGACATTCAAAATTTGCAATTTTTTTTCCCTGTACCTACAACTTGAAAATACAGACTGATGGTTTTACAAATGAAGAATATATAAAAAATCTTAATAAACAAAAAATAATCTACACTAAAAGTTACATTAGAAAATTACCATAATTTTATGTAAATAAATGATGTATAATGTTCATTGGTGTATATCTACAAAACACTGCTAGAACAAAAATAAAACCTTCATGCAATATGAACTGCCATAATGACAGTTTACCAGTATATTTTTTATCTTAAACATTGTATAGTATATTTTCCCTATTTCTTCAATTTTATTTGTGTTACTAGTTTATTGTAGATGTAATTATAAAATAAGTAAAATGGAACAAATAATAATTGAGACAAAAACCACCTAAATTGCATTAGGTATCAAAAATACAAAACCACTACCAAATAACAAATTGTTTGTTTTTTGTGGTTTGTTTCATTTATTTTATTTATAAATTAAATATATACTATACTACTACTAATAATAAAATTAATAATATATTATTATATATTAATATATTAATAATAAATTATTATTATTGTATATTTAAATATTTATTTTAGTATTTATTAATAATAATAACAACTGCTAAAATAAATTTTTAAAAATTAAATAGAAAAAATTTTAAATGTTGATGACATCTATTGACACAGGTTTAAGAGCTCAGCTTTATACACACTAAAAAAAGTAAGAGAAAATCAACAGCCTGTTTCTAAACAGAAGCTTCTAAATAGTTCTCTTTGAAATATTATACAGAGAAGATGGATTGCTGAAAATTTATCATTTTCAATGTACAAGTTCAAATAGGAGAGGACTAAAAATAAGAAATATGTATATAGCAAAGTCTTAACTTCTCAATCATGATAACAGATAGAAACAATGAAACAATAGAGCACTTATTTAACATATTTCTACTTGAGAGCTAAAATTAAGAATAGAGCTAAAATATAAAATTAAAGAGAGAGCTAAGCTTAAAGAGAGCTAAAATTAAAAAATAGCAACAAACTGAACCTAACTGAATTATGATAAATTTTTCTTTTACTCCTTAGTCCTATCACTGGGCCCTTTCCTGTGTTTCTAATATCATTTTTATTCAAATTATGAAACTAAACCTTAATGTCCAGCACATACTTTTCAAATAAATGAATGTTTTTGACTAACTTAACTAGATATCTTTATGTTCCCAATATAAAAAGCTAAATGAATGTTAATCAAATCGATCCAATGAACAAAGTGATAATAAATACAAATTAATATTTAGAACATTTTCAACCCATTTCTAGAGTCTTCTTCAGAAGTCCCTAGAAATGTGTCAAAAACATTAGTGTTATGTTCTAAATATTATCTGCAAAGCTATACAAGGTTAGTGCGATGTATTTGAACATTGATGTAAAATTAATGTTTTTGGCTAATTAAGTTAGCCAATAACATTCATTTAAAAGTAATTGCAGGACATTAAAGGCTTATTTTCATAACTTAATTCTAGCAAGTTATTGCTTAAATTAAACTATTGAAAATTGTTTCATTTTCAGAAAACTTTTAATTGCCATTACATATTATAGGTTTAATTTCATAATTTAGTATTTGCAATAGGTTACCTACAACAATCCACTTGCATATGTGAAACGATTGTTCAAACCTACAGCAATAATAATCAAAATGACATTAGATGATCATAGGGAAGAAGGGAAGCGTTATAGCTGTGTGGTTGTGCTAAATTGGGCTCCTGGATTTCGCGCAGTTTCTCCTTGGATTTAACTAGTGTAGTGAAGTTTGTTATATCGATCGATTCGGGATTTCGTAAGGACCAAGATGATACCAAAATTGTANTGCTCACAAATTTCTTCTTCACACTTTCCTATCATACTTACCCCATCTTCCCCTCCCCCCTCTCTTATCCTCTTCTTACTTCTCTTCTAAGGCTAAGCCTCTGGTACGGCCTTCTTAACTTTTACAACAATAATAATCAAAATGAGTTAAAATAACAAAGAAAAACATTTACAGTAGAACTCTGATTAACCAAATGTCTAATTATTCATACCATCACTTGACTTCATTTCTCTCCCACTAAAGTCACTTCAGTTCTCTTACATCATGTGACTGCATTCTCTATTTGTTGAGACAGATCCAAATTATCAATAGGATGCTAATCACACACTGATGAATAAATACAGTATGTATATAATATTGTGATGATATCCTGTAATTTCATTCTTACATACAATCCACTTATCTGAATTTTCAATTATCTGAATCACTTGCAGAATGAATCAATTCAGATAATTAGAACTCTACTGTATCAACATTTGAAGTTATCACTATATATAAAAGTATTGTCAGCAGGAATGAGGACCATATACATAACCTCATGTTCTGTCTCTCACAAATACTAAGAATAGGATGAGTAAATTGGTCAGACAAC